TTTCAGGCTTTCTCCTAAGGTCTGGATCCCTCCAGGAATGATTTTGGCCTCAGGAATTTGGGGGTTGGACTGGCCTGGGAGCCAGGCCCAGGAAAGATGCTGCTCTAGGGCAGCTGGTGGCCAGGCCACCCGGAGATGCAAAGGCAGATGGGGCAGGAAGAGGCCCCCAGGACTCCTGGGGACTGCACTGAAGAGCTGGGTTGGTCTGGATGCAAAGGATCAGGAAGAGGAAATGTCAGCCCCAGTGTCCCAGAAAGAGGCTGGTGGGTACTGCAGGCCCAGGGAAGCAGAGGGAGCTGAGGGCGGGGCCAGGCCCAGAAGCAGTGCTCCAGGGGCCCAGAGAAGGCATTATGTTGGCCTGGATGAAAAGGATCAGGAAGCAGTATTGGTTGTCCCAGTGTCTGGGGCCCCAAGGCAAGGAATGGGGCAGGGCCCAAACTCGGAGAAGAGAACGGTGGGGGCGATGGGTGGGTGAATGAGGCTGGGGGAGTCAAGGCTCAGAGGGCAGGATGGACTTACCTTGGAGAGAGACCTGCAGCCAGTCTTTCAGGCGCAGGGAAGCAGCACCCTATACATCTTTTATTCTTACAAGACTGCAAATTGTCTGCCACAATGGAAATTAGCCTCCCCCTGACCCCTAACTTTATTTTCCTCTTTTAGGAAGAAATTCTGGAATATAAGACCCTACAGATCATTCAGTGCTCTATGGCTAAAATCAACTTCAAAGTCAGGCAAACCTGGGTTTAGAGCCTAACTACAGCACCACATAGGAGTTACACTCTCCTCATGTGTGAAACAGGTTGAAATACCTTTGGGCAAGATTGATGTGAGATCTGAAGGCGAAAGGCTTCTAGGACCTTTAACACGGTGCCTGACACACAGGTGTGCCCTCCCCACAGAGGTTCCTTGTTAATATCATCATTCAATTCAATTTCTTAATTTTATGTATGAGGAAACTAGATTCAGAGAGAAATGATTTGCCCAAGGTCAGATGACCAGTTCATAGCAAAACAAAGTCGATCCAGGCATCCCTGGTGGTCCCTGCCTGCCTTCTAAATAGATTTTCCTTTATTCTTCAATAAACTCCCAGCAGATGAGGTTGGAACATTTTTCCAAGTAGTTAGGGTCATGCTAAGTTGGTACTGTTGCCTGTGCCAGGGCAAGAGCAACCTGGAGGGTGGCTTCCCCACCGTCAAAGCCAGCTATTGTCCCAATGACTACACTTTGTCCTTAAAGCAATAATTTCCACAGAGCACTGAACAAACTGTCCTCACGCCATTACTTTATCTTCTGGCAGCTGAAGCCCTAGAAGGTGATTAGGTAGTGCAGTGGTTTGAATGAGAATGTCCCCCATAGGATCCAAGTATTTGGACATTTGGTCCCCAGTTTGTGGCACTGTTTGATTTGAAGGTCATGGAACCTTTAGTAGGTGTGGTCATGCTGAAGGAAGCATGCCAGTGGGGTGGGCTTTGAGAGTTCTTAAGCCTTGTCAGGTTTCACATGTCTCTCTGCTTCTTGTGCCTGCTTGAAGATGTGACCTCTTGACTTTCTGCTCTGGCCACCTATGCCACCATGCCCCCCCCCCCATTATGGACTCTAATCCCTCTGAACCATAAGCCAAATAAACTTTTCCTTCTCTAAGTTTCCTCAGTCACAGTGTTTTATCACAGCAACAGAAAAGTAACTAATACAGGCAATGTCACCATCAACAACTTTCCCACATTCAGGCAAGTGTCTAATCTCTGCATCCAGCCAGACTCCTCTCCACATTCCTGGAAAACGTCTCCCCAAGAACCCTCTGCAATGCTGAGAGACTGGATTACTGTCTATACTGTGCCCTCTGCCCACATAGCATTCTTTCACTTCAATGTTTTTCCCTTGCCTTTTCTCAAATGTCACATCCACATAGTCACCCATATGCCCAGGAGCTTCTGTTCCACAGAGAGGGTTCACTAACACTGTCCATAGCAATTGTTTATAGTGATTGTCCATAGCAATTTTCCATTTCAGCTTGGGAGGACCAGCCTGGGAGAAGCCAGTTATCTATAGCCAGGGTAGGGTAGGAGTTGCTTCTTGTTTTTCCACAGCAGACAGATCCCATAAGCTCTGACAAATGTCTTCACGCATCTGTTTCCAATCTTCATCAGACCTTCCCAAATCCAAAAGACCCTGTGACAGACAGGCATCTCTACTCAGGGCCGGGTAGCCTACCGTTAGTCAACAGGCAAGGCAGAGGGGAGATATCTGGAGATGGAGAAGGAGGAGAGATTAGGTATACTTGCATCAGCATCATCACAGCTCAGTGATAATGGTACAGAAAAACCCCTAGGCTAGAAGTTAAGTGGCCTGGGGCCTTACTCTAGCCTTGCCTTAGTGAACTATGTGCTTGGTGGTCTCTTTGCCCCCTAATTCCTACTACAGAGCTAGTGTTCTCTAGGTGACTGGCACATCTGACAATAGTGACAGCCTCAACTATTCCAGCTCAGAGGTCAACTAGAGTCCAGCTAGGAAGGGTTTTCTTCCCATCACCTCTCCACTCCTCAAGTCAGGAAAGCCAGCCCTTCCTACAGGAGGTAGGATAGTCCATGGTGAGAAAACCTGAATTTCTAACCTCCAGGATCATGAGAAAATGAGCACTGACTGAGCTACCAGTCTGTGGCACACTGCTATGGCAGCCCTTATACACCAACACAGGCCTGCTCCAGACCTGCCCTCCACAGCTGTTTCTATATTGCCTCCATGCAGACCCTAATCCCAGACTCATCAAGTTTTGGGGATCAGGAAAGCTAGTCCTGGGGGCTGGAGAGATGGCTCAGTGATTAAGAGCACTGGTGTTTTTCCAGAGGACTTGGGTTTGAATCTCAGTACTCACATGGTGGCTAACAACCATTCATGACTCCAGTTCCAGGGGATCTGACACCCTCTTCTGTCCTCTGGGCCTTTGGGGAGTGCTGAGTTTGACAAATTGCTTTGGGAACACCTGAAGAAATGAAGACAAAATAAGAAAAAGAGGGACAAAACTTGGCTAATATTTTGGATTACAATTGTGCCACACATGCCATGTTTCAGACTCTGGCCCCTGGGGTCTTTGGCTAGACCACTCCTGGTAAGAGTTCATTAGGGTGGTCCCCACACCCAGGGACCTCCTGCTCCCTCAGACAATTAACACAGGGTTTCTTGAAATCAGATGTCCAAAGACCTCAGGAGAAGCTGACCCTACACATCCCTCAGTTTCAGATGGTGCACACACAGCCAAGTATTACACCCCCCACCTGCCCCACCCCCCCACCAAGTTCCTTGCAAGAGGGAAGGAACACAGGAGCAGAGAAGGGACTTCCTGTTTACTCTGGGTTCGGCTTCTGACGCCAGGCCTTATCATTGGGTCCTCAGACTGGGCAGGGCAGGGCAGGTCTGAGTACCAGGGAGAGTTGGTTCCCCTACCCTGTACAAGAGGAGAAAGGAGTGGGTAAGACAGGTCGCAGCTGAGCAAGAGAGAAACTGCACGTTGGACCATGATGAAAACGTTTCTCGTGCTACTGCTGGTGCTCCTAGATGTCGGACAGGCCCACGGAGACCTGCATAGGTAAGGCCAGTCCCCAGCACTGAGTTCAACCTAGGCATCCCCCAGCATCCAGTTCAGGGCTGCCCTGGGAGAGAAAAGCTAATAGGGGAATAAAGAGAAGACACTGGGGGCTCTGTGGGAATCCCCAGGTGGTCCTTCAAGTGGCCACCTTGTATATGACTGCAGCCTCCAGGCCACAACCAGTCAACCCTTGGCCTCTACTTCCAGTAGAGGTGCCTGCCTCAGCTCCAAGGAGCTCCTGGTGTTACTAGAAAGCACAACCCACAGCTATGGTTTATAGCTTCAAGCCTTCAAATACTTTCTTGTGGGGGGGGGGCTACAGCTGAGCACTGCTATCCCCAAGAGTTCTTCCGTCCCTTTACGTCAGCCCTTCATGGGAGTCAGATGAAAGTACAGACTGTCCCATTCCTAAAAGGTCTCAATGAGCCAGTGCCCAGGAAGGACGGCCATCTCTCCTGGGATTCTGAGTCCACAGGGCAGAGAAGGTGCTGTTCTGGCCACACCTGGCCTTGAAGAGCCCTCTCCTGGGTCCTGCTGTAGTCAAGCACTAAACTTATGTGCTGGTAGTAGTAGAGGGAAAAAGAGGGAAGCTGTCCCTCCTTACATTGGGCTTTATTTTCAGGGTGCCCCTCAGGAGGCATCAGTCCCTCCGGAAGAAGCTCCAGGCCCAACGCCAGCTCTCAGACCTCTGGAAGTCCCAGAAGTTGGACATGATCGAGTCCTGTACGATGGAGCAGAGTACCAATGAGCCCCTCATCAACTACCTGGATGTGAGGCTTCTCTGGATGGAGGCTGGGTCACCGGGTGTAGGGAGGAAGGCTGAGCCTCCAGCTGGGGTCAAACCATATCAGCGACGTCAGGTGCTCTGGCAGATTTCTTTGCTTGGGTGATTTATAGAGACTATCGATCCCCCAGTCACTGTGAACTCTGTAGATCAGGCCTGAAAGTGCCAAAGTGTGCAGAGCTTTCTTCAGGAGGAAAGGGATAAAGATGGCATGCATCTGAAAGGGAAAGACTCTTACACAGTGTGCTCAGCTGGGCAGCTTACTGGCTATGCCTTTGAGCAAGGAAAGTACTTGACTTCCTGCATGCCCGGTTTCCCGACCCCTAAAAATGGGAGCATTTCTGCCTCCCCTGCCTTGCTCACAATGACATCATGGGAATCAGGACAATGAGGGTAGAACTGAATGAAGTGCCTGGGGCTACTACCCTTGAGGTCCTCCCTCATGGCCCTAGCTCTGTGCCTTCTGTCTTTTAGTTCCAGCCCTGCCACTTTTAGGCTCTATAGGTTGTAGTCTACAGTACTCCAAGCTCTGGTTCCAGACACAACCTTCTCCCCTTTCCCCTCTCCCAACACGCTCCTTTCTCTCCCTTCCCTGCAGATGGAATACTTTGGCACTATCTCCATTGGCTCCCCACCACAGAACTTCACCGTCATCTTTGATACAGGCTCTTCCAACCTCTGGGTCCCCTCTGTGTATTGCACCAGCCCGGCCTGCAGTAAGTGCGCCAGGAAATGGAGGGACCCTCCTCTGGGAGGCCAAGGCCTGGTACTTTGGGGTTGGAGAGGCTTGGGTTCCCCCTGCTGTCACTTCCCGTCATCACCTATCTTTGGTCTGCCTATGCCAGGGGCAGAGCTGAAATGTGGCTTCCAGTCAAGATAACAGCTTCTGTGCTACTCACAATTAATAGACAGAAACTTAGCTACTAAAAAGATAAATCTTTGACTTGGTGACTCACTTCCTCTGAAACACCCAAAGGAACAATGGGAAAAGTTCCACTGGTCTCTATCTAGACAGGTAGGTAGGTAGACTGCTTCAAGGTGGCTTGGTGGCCTGGCTCCCACAGAGGTGGGGCTGGCTAGGAACAGTGGCATGGGTGTGTCCTTTTGGCCAGAGGTAACTCAGGGGTTCAGTAAAGATTGGAAAAAGAAGAGCTAAACAAAGAAGGCTTGTTTTGTGGGGGACACATTCCAGGGTCTCTGGAAACCCTAAAGCCAGATGTCTCCAAGGTTGGGTGAAGAGTTAGGTCTAATTTCCTAGAGTCATTATTTACTCCCGAGTTTCCTTTAGACCAGGCTCTGACCTACACTGACGGCTAAAACTGCTGTTGGCACCTGATAAATGGTACTTATCTTGTGCCTCATGAAGTCATTGTGGACAATCAAGTTTGCTCAGGGGCAGGTATTTGGTCCCCAATTAGGCACACCTGTGACTAGAAGGAATGCTGGTGAAAGGCTATGGCAGGCCCTTCTGGGAGCCCCCTTCCCCACTTCGTGTTGGAAAGACAGTCTGCCTCTCTGGGACCACGATGGAAGCAGTAAGCAGCGTTCTTGTTTTCCAGAGACACACCCCGTGTTCCACCCTTCCCAGTCCAACACATACAGTGAGGTGGGAAGCACTTTCTCTATTCAGTATGGGACCGGGAGCTTGACTGGAATTATCGGAGCTGACCAAGTCTCTGTGAGTTCAGTTCCTTCATCTTTTCTTTTTTTGCCCAGAACTTGGGAGCAGGGGTGGCAGAGAAGTTCAGAAGTCTCAAGGGCACAGTGTCAGGTCTGCCTGAAGAGGACATAGGCAGGGCTAGCTCCTAGGAAAAGGGACAGCAGTCAATTTGCTCAGCATGCTGAGCCCTAGAGGGAACCTTGGGATCTCCTTTAGGAAACAAGGCCCGGGGTACAATGCTTGGTGTCAGGGTTGGCTCACCAGGCCCTGAGCATTGAGGAGATGAAAGCAGGCTGCCATCTTGAAGGGAAAAAAAAAAAATTCAAGCCAGCCAGCAAGCTGAAATAAGAGGAAAGGTCCAAGGTAGGAATCCAACAACAGAGAAGATTCCATTTGTTAAAACAAAGCCTCAAGGCTCCTTGACCTCTCCTTGGTCAAAAGCCGTCTGGGTCCCAGATCTGTGGGAATCGACTGATGTGAGGACAGAAACCCAAAGCACCTGGACACTTTATGCAGGTGTTTGGGCAGCAGTATAGGCTTGGGGGAAGTAAAGGCTGGCCCACCCTGATAAGTAGCGTTCCAGCTCTGTCATGATCACAAGACTAGTAGCGCTCAGCCTTTGTCAACACCCCTTCAGAGTTCTGAGCATGGGATATAGTAAGTGAGAAAGTGCCACTAGCAGAAAAACGCTTTCTTTTCACCCTCCCTCCCCATTAAACCTGGTACAAATCTTTCTGAACGCTTATGAATTGTGTGAGACTCTGATAATCTGGTCATCTGATAATATAAAGCAAAGTGAATATTGCCAACCTTAATTACTTTCTTTAGGATAATAAGTCTCCTTAAAATGTTTCCAGATCATCTTCATATCAGAAAAATGTTTTCTACATAAAAATATTATAGAGATAAAATAGCATCTTTTATTGGAATTATATGTACATAAATAAATGTTACATGTGCATATGTAATAGTACAAATAACTATTTAGAAGGTTGCATTCCAAGCTCATAATTGTAATAACTGGAAAGCAGGGAAGGGACTGAAATCCACAGGAGGATGGGAGTCCTGTGATACAGTTGTTACCTCTCTGCTAGCCTCTGGTCAGAAGGGGAGCAGCCAAGCCCACAGCAACTCCAATTCCAGCCTTTCCTCCATCATTTCCGGCTCCAGGGCCTGCTTCTGTGACACTGTCAGCCTCTGCTGCAGGGCACCCTTCGCTGAGGTTGGCGGCTGAGGTGTAGGGGAACAATGTAAATCCCAAGCCATCCTCACAGTTCCAGCCAGTGCTTCACCTACTTGACATGTGAATTCAAAGCCTTTCTGCTGCCAAAGCTGAAGACTACAGGTTACAATCCTGGGACAGAAACAACACCCCAGATACACTGTTTGCCTGACATTTACAATTACATATATACAAATACCTAATATACATACATATATAATATATAAATATATAGATTAATGCAGTTAATGAAGTCCTTAAAGGGACAGTTATAGCTTGACATGCAAGCATTCAAAAATCAACGATTAAGTAGCAAACAAGAAAAACGACTACTAGCAAACTGAAACAAACCAAACCCAAAGGAAAGAGGAGAGGACATCAAAGAAACAGAAAGGCCATACTCCAAACAAAACCAGCTGCCACAAATTCTTTGCAAAGAGTAACCAAATCGGCAAAATTAGCATGATTAATTCAGAAAAATGTAAGGAAACATAACAGTATTAGAAATGAACAAGAGGACATCATTAAAGGTCCTGTAGTCTTTAAAACAGAGGATTTCAAACCTGTTCTATATTGACAAGTCATACAATATTTTTAATTGACAAATACCTTGAGAAATATGGCATATCAAAGCTGACACAGAAAATACTAATAATCTGATGTCTATTTTAAATGTTTAATCTGCTACTAAAAATATTTCTACAAGGAAAACTCTAGACTTATCTTTCAGAGAATTGATAAAGATTTACTAAGTAAAATCTAGAAATTTCCCACACAGTCACTTGACTCATAGGAACATATTATTGCAATATGTGGAGGAAATAATGCTGTTTATTAAATAGTGGTAGGGCATTTTGACATCTATATAGAAAAACAATCTATGTCCTACGTCCTATGTTGTCAGACTTTAGATAGATTATAGAACTAAATGTAAAAAGGTAAAACGATAACATTTTTAGAAGAAAACTTAGGAAAATGTCTTCATGACTGTGGAATAGAAAAAAAATCTTTTAAAACGTTTTTAAAAAGTACTAATAATGAAGAGAAACTAGTAAATTTGAGTACACTAAAATTCATATCTTGTTAGTCAAAAACAGAGTAAACGCACCACTGACAGTTGGGGGGAAAATCCTGTAGTCACTAACAAAGGAATTGGTTTGGGAATATATCAACAAGAAAAACACAGACATTCCTGAAAGAGGATATCCAAAAGTCTGATTTCATTATTCATCATGAAATGCAATCAAAATCACATTGCATATCTCTGCATACCTACTAAAAGCCAAAAATAGGCCTTATCTAGTTTTAGTGAGGATATGGAGCAATCAGAACTCTGAGAATATTGATAATGGAAATATTGGTGCCATCATTTTGGAAAACTCTAGCATATTTCCTCATAGAGAATTCTTGGACTCCCTGTGATCTAGCAATTTTACTCGAAGGCATATATTCAATAGAAAAATGTCAATGTGTTCATCAAAGGAAATACTCAAGAAGTGCCATTAGTAATAGTCAAATACAGGAAACAACTCAAATTCCATCCAAGGCATAATGGATATATTATGGAGATACATTCATACCCTGGAACAGCTTGTGGTAAGCACGGTGCTGAGTACAAACTAGATACCAGCATCGTACTGGATGACGCCATTTATGTAAAATTTAAAAATAGACAAAACCAATGTTGGTTGGGAGACAAGTTACTCTTGGTGGGGGCATGCAATGATTGGCAGGCTTCAGGAAGGAGCTGCTGGGGTTTGGAATGTCCTATCTCGGTTTGGGAGCTGGGTTATATAGGCACATGGAGTGTATGGAAAGTTACAAATATAGACATGATTTCTGCATAACATTACACTTCAATTTTTAAAATTACATGAAGGAATTAAGTAAATGGGATTAGCACACAAACTTTTGTGTCTGTTTAGTCAAGGAAAATTGAGAAGGAAAGAATTAGCTTCGGGGACCCAGGGAGCTGAGACCATCTCCAGCTAACCCTTATGTCTCTGCAGGTGGAAGGGCTGACTGTGGTTGGCCAGCAGTTTGGAGAAAGTGTCAAAGAGCCTGGCCAGACCTTTGTGAATGCAGAGTTTGACGGAATTCTGGGCCTGGGGTACCCTTCATTGGCTGCTGGGGGGGTGACTCCAGTGTTTGACAACATGATGGCCCAGAACCTTGTGGATCTGCCTATGTTTTCTGTCTACATGAGCAGGTGAGGCCTGTCAAGCCCACCAGGTTAGCCCAGTGATGATTACAGGGGACAACCTGGTGCACTAAGACATGGCTTGGATCTCTTGCTTGGTCTATTACCAGCTGTATGATATTGGAAAACTCTGGATTTCATAAAGTATCTGTGACAACACTTTGTAAACTGTACCACCGTGAGTTGAATTTAAGGATCTTTGGGAGTGGCTACTGACTTATGTGGTCAATAGATATCAAGCTCTTGTTACATTCTGAGTGTGATAGTAGACGGTGAAACAATGAAACAAGGACAGCCTCTGCGGTTGGGAGCGATAGGAAATAATTACCCAGTAATTATTTAAAAATAATAAAAATACCTGTACACTGGGGCTGGAGAGATGGCTCAGCGGTTAAGAACACTGGTTGTTCTTGCAGAAGACCCGGGTTCGAATCCCAGCACCCACGTGACAGCTAACAACTGTCTGTAACTCCAGTCCCAGGGGATCCAACAGCCTCTTCTGACCTCCGCGAGCATTGTAAGACACGGGTGCACTTACCTACATGCAGGCAATACACGCACACACATAAAAATAATAAGTAAAATTTTAAAAATACATGTACACTAATAGGTAAGCAAAATGTGGTATAGCCATATAGTAGAATATTACTTGGTTTTAAAAAGGAAAGAGTGCTAAGGTTATAGCACATTGGTAGAATACTTCTCTAACATGCACAGGGCCCTGAGTTCAATCCTGGGCATCTCAAAAAAAATGTCTGACACATTCTAGAACATGAACTAAACTTTAAGACTTATGCTAAATGAAATGTCACTTACAAAAAGGACAAACATGATTCTACTTACATGAGGAAGCTAGAGTCAAATTCACAGAGACAAAACGTGAAGTGGTGGTTGTCAAGGATGCATCTCAAAGGAGATGGGATGGTCATTCCTGTTTACTGAATATATAAAATCTCAGCTCTGCACAGTGATAGTGTCTAGAGCCTGGCTTTACAGTAATGAAAGTCTGAACTAGATTAGATACCCAAAAATGGCTAAGATGGCTTTACGTTGTATCTATAAGACCACCATTCTTTTTAATCATACATTACTATTGAGAGGGCCATGTTCTCGGCCCCTGTGCTCTTGCCTGGGATGTCGAGGCCACCTCACTGTCCTCCCCACACAGGAAGACCTCTTACCTCTCACACTCTGGCCTGAGCTCACCTTGCTCCAGCATAAGCCCATTCTCCCTGTCCCTGCTCCTACATAAAGAGTCCTGAATTCACTCTCTCCCGCTATGCTGTGTCTCCAGTATGGTCGCAGCAGGGACCGGGCCAGGCAGAACTGTGAGCAAGGCATGCCACCAGGACACCTGTTTCCCCTTTTGAGGCCCCTTGCTCTCTTCCAGCCTGCAAGTGAACTGTGACTGGCAGTAGCAAGGTCACACCAGTGTGGAGTTAAGTCCCACCACTTGCATTGCTTCGTCTCCTGGGCCTCAGTTTCCTCAAATAAATACTAGGTTGATGTGAGAGTTCAATAAGCTTAGGTGGTTAGATTCCTAAAACCCAGGACCTTTTGCATGCTAAGCAAGTGTTCTACCCCTTAGCTATACCCCCAGGCCCCTCAAACCTATAGGTATCTGCTCCTTATCCAACTGTCCTGCAGTGCCCTGGGCTTTCTGTTTTTCTGTTCTTTTCCCTCGTGAAAAATGTCCATCCCCCCGAATCCTACTAGATACCAGAACATAACTCTAGAAATAAATACCAATGAAAATTAACCAATATTCAAGCTCCAGTAAGTCATATTGATTCGAATTAGCTTCTTTGCCTTAACACAAAGGAGTAGATAATATGGAAACTCCAGACACTGCAACATCCACAGCAGGGAAGGTGAGGCGAGAAAGAGTATTTGGGGGACATCTTCATGTCACACAATGTTTGCACACCCAGGACAGTTCTGGCCTGGGTTCTTCAGGCGTTCTGATGGTCCCTGACTCCTAACATTTTTATTCAAGAAGCAGGGACATGTACAAGGCACTGGGCAGAGCAGATTCTATCCTTGATCCACAAAGGCCCAGATTAGTCAATTTGCATAGTGGGAAATTGTGGTAGTCAGGGCCAGACTGATGTTGCTGCCCATCTAGGTCCCCAGTGTGTACACCCAGACATGGAGCAGAGGGCCCTCACTGATGCTCCCTCAGTGTTTCCAGTGGCCCTTCCTTAACACCTTGCCTTTCTCTCTATGTAGTGACCCAGAAGATGGCTTAGGCAGTGAGCTGACCTTTGGAGGCTATGACCCCTCTCATTTCTCTGGGAGCCTCAATTGGGTACCGGTCACCAAGCAAGCCTACTGGCAGATTGCACTAGATGGGTGAGTATCCTCCTTGTAGCTGCTGTGGTTGAGTAGAAGAACTTAAAACAGACACAAATTGAACTGGATTAACTGAGTGACACCGCCAATCACTAGAGCAGATGCTGGGTGCTTGCTGTCTGACTGGAGGTGTGGGGATGCTTGGGAGGACATCAGGAGCAGCTTCCTTCTGTGGACTTTTGGTGTGCCTCTAATCCAACATGTGACATACAGCCTGCTACCCTGTGTTCACACAGCCTTAATTAACACAGGATGCAAGGACTGTATGACATGGGAATGCAAGGGGGAATTGGACTCAGCTTTTGCTTTTATGAGACTTACATGGAGGATGAACCCAAAATAGCTACTACACAAAATAACTGGTCAGTGCCCTAGAGACACCAAAATGGCCAGCAAAAAAAAAAAAAAAAGAGTGAGAGTGAGACCATTTATAGGAGGACCTCTCAGGGCTTCACGGGGGCAGAGACTAAACATATATGCAGTATCTGGGAACAGAGCAATGGGGGAAGCAGAGCTATAGGCTCTGGATAAAACATAAAAAAGCTCCAATGCTCACTGTCTTCTGAGGCTTTTCAGACTGTAGAGATTTACCTGTTTGTTGTCACAGCATCATTTTAAGGAATCCCAACCTGCTTTTTGTTTGCTTGCTCACTTTATTTTATTTTTTGAGACAGGATCTTGTATGTAAGCCCAACTGGCCTGGAACTCCCATGATCCTCCTAAGTGCTAGGGTTACAGGTGTTCACCACCATGCCAACTCCTGACCTACATTTTTTTAAAGAAATGGAGTTCAATAGAAAATAGAAAAATGCATTTCCATTGTGTGCATGTGTGTGCACTGGTTAGAAGTAAGCGTTTTTCTTACTGTGGATCTCAGTCCAAAAAGCAAGTTGAGAGGTTGGGTAGAATGGCCCATCCTATCACAGCACTCAGGAGGCTGAGGCAAGAGGACTGCTATGAACTTCAGGCTAGACTGGACAAAGTAAAACTGTCTCAAAAAACAGAAGGCAAGTTGAAAAATGGTCATGTAGGGGGAGAGAGACCAGAAAGGGCACCTTCACTGTGTGCCTGCTCTGCTAGAGAGCCCCATGGGGAGCACCAGGGGGCAGGTACTAACAGGGACCACTGGCCCTTTGTCCTCAGAATCCAGGTGGGAGACACTGTAATGTTCTGCTCTGAGGGTTGCCAGGCCATTGTGGACACAGGGACCTCCCTCATCACTGGCCCTTCCCACAAGATCAAGCAGCTGCAAGAAGCCATTGGGGCCATACTCACAGATGGAGAAGTGAGTGTCTGCCTGGGTGGAGATGGGGTAGGGCCTGGCCTCCAGGGAGATGGAGAACAGGCTGTCTCTGAGGGGATCCCTGTCTGTTTTAGTATGTTGTGGAGTGTGGCAACCTCAACATGATGCCAGATATCACCTTCCTCATCAACGGGGTCTCATATACCCTCAGCCCTGCTGCTTACATCCTGCAGGTAAGAGCTGTTTCCTTACTCTGTGAGGCACAGGGCTTCTTCACATGCATGCCTGCCACTTCCCTCTTCTAAGTCACCTGCACTTGGCTGCATTGACTCCAAGTCCCCTCCTACTTGGTCCAGTCCTGATGTGGCATTTCATCTGAGAGGGACACAGTTGCCTATAATAGAAATTACTGGGCTCACTTCTAGTTTCCAGTTCTGCCATTGAAGCAGAAGATTTTTGATACTGCCATGAGGACTTACTTGCTATCATGTGCAACCCCAGATGTTGCTATCCTGTTTTTGTAGGTGAGGGTATTAAGATTCTGAGACTTAAATAAATGGTTCAAGCTATGAGCTGCTGAGGCTGAAGAGATGACTCAGAAGTTAAGAGTACTTGCTACTTTTTCAGAGGACCACAGTTTGGCTCCCAGCAGCCATTCCACAGCTACCTATAACTCTAGCTTCAGGGGACCCAGCACCCTCTTTGGCCTCTGTGGGGACACAGCACACACATGCACAGACATACACAGAAACAAATAATAAAAGATTTTTTTTGGTCTTTTTGAGACAGGGTCTCCCTGTAGCCCCAGCTGTCCTGGAACTCACTATGTGGAGCAGGCTGGCCTTGAACTCACAGAGATCCGCCTGCCTCTGCCCCGAGAGCTGGGATTAAAGGTGTGCGCCACCACACCCGGCAAAAAAGAGTGACTTAAAAAAAGATATGAGCTGCTTGGAGAGGGGCAAAATAAGGTTATACTTTTCTCTCAACATTCAAATTAACTTTCCCCCTGAAGCAAGAACATGTCTTTTACTGCAGTGATTCCCAAGTTGAGAGGGTGAGGTAGAGACAGGCTCTTGGACATTTTGGAAATCTATGGTCACTTCACATCCCCTGGGCCTGGATTTTTGATATTGCAGTTCTTTGGTAACATACTTCAATATGCTTAGTTTTAACCAAGAGTCGCCCATGGCTTCGGGGGCTGTGCCAGCACACAGATACTAAGGTATAGGCTGAACTTCGCTAACTCTTTTCCAAAGTCATCAAGTATAAAGAGACAGTCCAAGAAACACAAGCTTTTACTCTAGAGCACAGCTTCATGATAAGCCCCTGCAGCACAGGCTATACTGTGGAGCTGCCTCTGTAGACACCATGCTAAGAACAAGGTCCATTTTCAGACAAAGCCCTACTCACCGGTCTACACACCCATCACCACTCCAGCACTTCACACTCTTCCACCTTTACCAAACAAGAGGCTCTGCTTGTGTCCATACCCTGCCCAATATGGTACCTGGGTCCTTTCCTGCCAGATTTTAACCAGTCACCCAATCCATCCAGGCTGTTGGAACAGCTTTGGGGTTTACCCCTTTCCTCTAGTGAAGCTGTTTGAGCCACCTCTTTTTCCCACCTCCTCATCAGTTACTCTGAATTTCAGGTGGCTATTGGGAAGACCACACTTCCTGTAGAACACAAATCTTGGCTAAACTGAAAAATAAGATTGGGAGACAGGAGTGGCAGTGCATGAGTTACATAGTGTCTCACACACACACAAAAAAAAGATTGGAGATTAGACTCCCATCATAGAACAATGGGTGTCTCCTTGCTCTGTATCTAACAATCCCCACTCAAAGCAACATACTCTAACAGCAAACCTTTTGCAATAAGATCTCAGTTTTTCCACTTATACAGGGTATGGCTGTATAACAGATGAACTCTTCTCAAAATCATAGAACACAGATGAATGAACCTGTGCAAACATGCCCTCTACTGAGTAAACAGATGTCGGTATGAAATGGAGGGAGAATCCACCAATCAAAAACATGGCACTCACCAGTCATCCATGGCCTTTTGCTGCCAGCCACCAGCATCACTCAGGACAGCTTCCTGGAAGCACTGCCTTCCTCCCCTGTTTGCTACTGACAGAGTTCTTTGTGATTCTAGGACTTCGCAGATGGAATGCAGTTCTGCAGCAGTGGCTTTCAAGGACTTGACATTCAGCCTCCATCAGGGCCCCTCTGGATCCTGGGGGATGTCTTCATTCGAAAGTTTTATTCAGTCTTTGATCGTGGAAACAACCAAGTGGGCCTGGCCCCAGCAGTCCCCTAAGTAGGGATGTGTGTCTGTGCAGGATACCTGACAGCCCTTGAGCCCATTAGGACGAGGTTCTCTTTATACCTATCAAAAAGCCATTACTCCCAGAATTCAGTCATCCCAAACAGAGAATAAGGACTAAACAAAGCATGATAGCACACACACAGCCTGGCACACACTTCATACACCTGCACCACCTCTACCACCAACATGATGGAAGAATTAAGTTGTGTCTATATTCTTTGATTTTTTGTTGACTTTCTATTCTAGAAATCTCCAAACATAGACACAAGGATAAGCACCATACATCCCTGTGCATCTACACTCCACTCCACAACCCATCCACATGTGGCCAGTCCCCTCTATCTGCTCTGCCATGCACTTCTTCTCTAGCTCCCAAACGCCTAGATTCTGAAGCAAACTCTACCTGTCATGTTATTTTATCCAAAGTATGACTAATGTCCCTAAAAGTTCCCCACTCTCTCATAAATCTGTGTCTGTTTTTATAGCTGATTTATTTGTCAGGATTCAAAGCAGATTCACAGTCAGAAAATAAAATCCAAATTGCATTAATTTGAAATGCCTCTTAAGCCTCTTTTCTTCTATAGAATCTCCTATATTCAGTATCTTGCTAGTTGGGATCAGACATGGTGATGCATGCCTGTAATCCCAGTATTCAGGAAGCTGAGGCAGGAGGATCACTTCAAGTTCTACATATCCTGAGATACATAGTTAACTTCAGGCCAGCTAGGACCACATAGCAACACTTGGTCTCTAAAAATGACCAAGAAAAAGAATTTGGCTGGCTAAAATCCAGAGATATCTTTGACATGGGTCTCTGCGTCCATTCTTCCTATAAAAGTTAGATCTAGAGGCCCTTTTCATGGCAAAACGTTACAGGGATGGTGCTCAGTACTTCCTGTTGTATTCTATTAGGAGACAGATAATGCTGGTCTTGTTAAGATTGATGAGTGGGTTTAAGGCTGTCAGCCTTCACCATCCTCCACAAAGTCCTCTCCTTCAGTAGTCATTAAGGTCATTACCAAACCTCTCAAAATGGTTAGCATTTCCCTAATTCTATTCTTTTTTTTCCATAAAATAAGCTTCCTTCATTGGCCTTTTGCTCATTGTGAAGTATAGCTCAGGCAGGAAAGAGGGCAGCTACCTGAGGCCTTCTGCCCTTTATTTACCAGTTGTCAAAATAAGAAGCTGGTGGTGTAGCAGAAGCTGGGAGTCTGATGTGTTCTGACATTCTGCAGTTACTTTTAACACTCAACTCATCCTCTCTTGAGCCCATGGGTGTTGCTTCAAGTTACTTCCTGTGAACTTTTCCAGCTCATCTTACACACTTCTGCTCTGTAAGCTCTGTAAGGTGGCCTCAGCCACTGTCCCAAGGAGTTCCTTGCTATAAATAAAATATTTCTTAGCATGTAGGAAATGAGGAGGGGCCAGGAGGATGCCCTACAGACCATCCTAAGGAATTTCACTTGGAGAACTTGGTCTGGCCCATCTTCATTCTGATGCCTACAGTATTAACACACACACACACATATATATATTATTTTTCGGTCTTTTTGAGACAGGGTCTCCCCTGTAGCCCCAACTGGCCCAGAACTTGCTATGTAGACCAGGCTAGCCTCGAACTCACAGAGATCTGCCTGCCTCTGCCTACCGAGTGCTGGGATTAAAGGCATGTGCCACACGCCCAGCTTATGACACCAATATTATAATCACCTGAACGACAAAAAGCCTAACTCTTAAATTTAGTTTTTAAAAGTGGGCCTGACTCAGAGGACATTCGTTCCCCCTAGATACCTCTTGAAACCATCTGTCTCCTGGAACTGTCTTGAAGGAATTCTGTTCCTGGAACTATGTCCCAAGTCTGGTCCCATTCATGATCTTATTCAAAATGGTTTCTCCATCTTCAACTGAGGAAGTACAAACTCGGCTCCACCTTAATCTTAACAGACCTTCTGGCCTTTCATCTCTGGTTCCAGACTATCTCATTCACCCAAGGTCACCTGTCTTTCCCAGTCTCTGGTGTGTACAATGGAGAAGGGGGGCTGCCTTTCAATTCTTTGATATGTTAATTCTCAAGCATACCCATATTTATTCATTTATTATCTTTTGGGGTGGAGTACTAAGTTGAGATTGTCAAGGAAATGAGATTGGGTGCCCAGGTCACAAGACACAAGAGCACATGGTTTTCCTGGGGTTAATTAAAAGTCATTAGTCTAGTTTATTGATACAGGGGAGAAAGAGCATTCCCTAGAGGGTTCTTAGTCTCATTCATAAAATAATTTAAGAACTCAAACAGAAGCTTTGGGACAATTTTACTAGAATTTAAAGAAAAATCCTCAGAGTAGGCAAGCTGTAAATCTCAGCAGCTGCCTTGAGGGGGAGAATGGAGGGGAGAAGGAAAGAAGCCATGAATGTGCTGCATGGAGGTCAGACGTGTGGGAGACAGGCAGTCACATGGCAGGGAGAAGGAAGCTTTAGAGAAAGAGCAAAGAAATCCAAGATGTGCTGGGTGTGCTGCGCAAGCCTTTAATCCCAGCACTCGGGAGCCAGAGGCAGGCAGATCTCTGAGAGTTCAAGGCCAGCCTGGTCTACATAGGGAGTTCCAGGCCAGCTGGGGCTACAGGGAGACCCTGTCTCAAAAAGACCAAAAAAAGGAAGGAAGGAAGGAAGGAAGGAAGGAAGGAAGGAAGGAAGGAAGGAAGGAAGGAAGGAAAGAAATACAAGATACTTGGGTAGCCCAAAACATTAGAGAAAGCATGTTTAGATAAGGGATATGAAGAAGAAAAGGAGATATTACACTTTTCCGAATTCAGAAAAGTGGGAAGACTTACAGAGTCAACAAGTCTGTGGCCAAGTCCAGAAACACTGTGCTAAGAATTGGGATTCCAGGCAGGAAAGGTTTACCACCTCATTAACACACTATGTATTCCACCCCTGTATTTAGCACTACTTAAGATGAACCCCTTCCTAGGGATGGTCCTAAGACCAGATAATTGACCAGTGAAACTGAAAAGGTGGGTCTTCCAACAGATAGACGAGGGATTTTATTTTTTGACCAGTTAATCTTATGGGGCTTTTTTTTTTTTTTTTACTCTACCATTATGTCCATTTATAAAAGTCTTCCCACAGATGGCATCTGTGGATGCCATGAGAATTAATTTGTTTTCCTCTTCCTTTACTTTTGCATCTTTTAAAATGCAATCTACAATTTTGTTCTTATTATAAAGTATAATCAAGTATACCATAAAAATGGTATCAACTCAGTTGTTTATAAGAACTTTATTCTAACTAAAGAAAGGGCCTGTGAGATGGCTCAGCAGGTAAAGGTGCTTGCTGCCAAACCTGGTAACCTGAGTTCAGTCCTCAAAACCCATGTGGTGGAAGGAGAGAACTGATTCCTTCACGTTGTCCTCTGTGGCAAGTGTGCATACATATACACATGAAAACAAACACATAAATACATATCTTTTTCTCTGGTCATCTAAACAGACAGAAATAGCTGTTGATAAGAACTCACTACCCAAAAGAAACCATACTCCACATACTCTTCTCTAAACTGCTGTTCTCCTTTCAAAGTAAATTCCCTCTCAGAAGGCTAAGGCAGGACAGCGAGTTCATGGCCAGCCTCAACTACACATCAAGACACTGTCCAAAAAAAAAGGAGGAGGAAGAAGAGGAACAGAAGGAGGAGGAGGAAGAAGAATAGGGAGAGGAGGAGGAGGAAGAAGAAGAGGATGGGGGAGGAGGAGGAAGAAAAGAAGGAGGGGGAGGAGGGGGAGGAAGTTATCTACAACACACATAGTTCATTCTTCTAACATTCACCTGCTGTCCTTTAGCTCATCCTCTCTCAAGCACATTTGGTTCATTTGGGGATTATTATTTCAATCCAATACAATATTTGGCTTATGCCAGGCACTAAGAATGGTACTCTATGACCTGCAAAACTACTGGGACAGGCCCAGGCTGTCATTTACAGGCAGCAGGGATCATGGAATGCGCTCCAGGTTGAAGGTCAGATAGTTAACCTGGATTCACAACTGAGTTCCAACCCTCATAATTTGAGGCCTTGAGATAACTTCATACCTCACACATCCTTTAAGAAGAGCCAGTAACTATACCTGAGTGGAAGCCCTTGGTTCAGAATTTAGCTTCTTTTCTCTTGTGGGTAACGTTCAAAATATATCGCAGGAGGAGGAATAGGGGGAGGAGGAGAAGTTTGCATACTTTTGTTTTGCCTTTTCTTTTGTCTTTATAGATTTTATTCAGTTAATTTATTAATTTGTTTTATTAACTTACTGCCTTCACAGCTGACTCAGAACAACTGCCTGATGAGCCAAACAAGCTAGCAAAGTGTAAGAGCAGACAGGCTAAAACTTAAGTTCTGGAGTCAGACAGATAGGCCTGGACTGGATTCCTAGCACAGCTGGAGGGCCTCTAGACCTGTTTAGTCACCTGTCAGACAGGTCTGTCATGGGGTCATGTGAGCACTCGGTGCCCATCTGCATATGGAAGCACTTAGCTTCTTGCGTGCGTGGTCCTCAGGGAGCTTCACCCATCAGGGCAGCTCTCAGAAAAACAGAGGCCCTTGCGCCAAAAGGCTTTACAACCTCCCCTGAGTCAAAGCACCCCAGAACCACATGAGGGCCATCTTTAGAGCAGCATCCCTGCAGGTGTGCTCTTTAGGGTCATTTCTGAACAAGGGTTTTCTAGAATGTGCTGACCTGGGAGTGCATGTCCATCAGTCTGAGAGGAAGAAGCCCAAAGGATAGACATGACACATAAGTCACACCATTGACTCTATTGAATGACCAAAGTGCTGACTCCTCCTTCATACCAGCCCACTAGCTCTGTCACAAAATGCTTCTGTGCCTGGCCTCTTGTCCCATCCTTCTGAGCAATGCCTTTCACCAAGAGCATTTAAAGAATATTCCAAATGATGCTCTGACCCCAGCCTCCTCCACCCCACCACACCAATACCTAACAGTTCTGAAAGCCACTAGAATCCCATCCTCTCCCTGCTCCCACTTCTCTGTAGTTCCCCCTAAGCACCAAAAGACATCTGAGCTGACAAGATTTCAAGACTGTCTAGGGCCTTGCCTCAGTCTGACTCCCTCCTCCATGCATATCTGAGCCTCCTAAACCAGCTGAGCACTCCCTTTTTTCTCATTTTCACACATTGCTTTCAGGTAATCCTATTCTATTTACCAGAAGCAGGCCACTCCCCAGAGTGGCCTCTCTTGACTACACGGAAAGTTGTCCCAGACCCACAATCTCAACACTCAGGAGGCAGAAAGGCAGGAGGATCAAGGTCAGCCCGGGCTACACAGTAAAACACCTCCTCTTCTCCATCTCAAAACAACAACAAACAAGCAAAACCCTAGATGGAACTCTCCAGCCCAGATAACACACAGTGAAGGTGTCAGCCAGGGCTAGGTGCTTTTCCTGTGCCAGGTCTCTCCTGCCACCCAGAGGCTGGGCATCTCCTGCCTGCTCCTAGGTCACCTTCCTTTACAGCAAACCTGCCTGCCTCTTCCACTCACCACACATGCACATTCATCCTGCCTGTCCTTCCAGCTTCAGTTCTAATCCCTTCTTCACAAAATGCCCTCCTTGGAGCACCCTAACTAGAATTACCATCTTCATTCTCTGAATCCCCTCCACCTTTGCTTACTCTCTATTATTATTTCCACTATTAAATAGCAAGATCCATTTTTTTGCGTCCTCCAGAGTCTGACCTAGTGTATGAATGTGGGGGTCGGGGTGGGGGGTAATTCAGTGGGTGGGCATCAGGGCCCCCTTCACAGGGTACAAACAGGGCACCTTTCTCCAGTGCAACACTGTCAGAGGAAGGGAAGGGAAGGGAAGCTGATGACTTTTGGTACACAAGGATGGAGGAAGTGGAGGCTGGAGCCTGGTTAACTGGTGACTTAGTTTCCAAAGGTACTGGAAATAGTTCTCCCCTGAAAGAATAAGTCTCAGTACCCTGTTGAGAAACTGTAAAACCAGGGTTGGAGAGATAGGTCAATGGTTGAGAGCACTGGCTGCTCTTGCAGAGGACCTGGGTTGGGTTCCCAGTACCCACATGGCAGCTAACATCATCCATAACTCCAGTTCCAGGGGATACAACACTTCTGACCTCTCTGGACATTGCACGACACAGTGCACTTACATATATGCAGGCAATATACCCATACAAATAAAATAAAAATAATAAAATATTTTTTAAAAAGTTGTGAAACCAACTGCAGACAGATTGCTTCCCTTACCTGAAGCAGACCCCAAGGCACTTCTACATCTCAATACCATGTGCCCCTACACCATCATGTATGTTCCCACACCATCATAGACATGTGCCCACACATACACAGGCAAAGGTTCATTTAAAGCTGGTCTCAGAAAAAAAAATAGAATAATGCTGGGGTATCTTCTAGAGGCCAATAATTTAAGAACAAACCAGCTCTTATAAACCAGCAGTTATCTTGGACTTCCCAAGCAACCAAAATACAGCACCTGGTACATGCTCTGGAATTTTTTCCAACCTTCCTGTATCACATTCAGTATCACTAGGTCCCTTCATCCCAGTATGTCATTAGTTGATGCAAGAAAATAAGCTTCAACTTCTGTCCCACCAGCGGCTCCTTACTAGGGGCCATCCGGGCAGCAGCAGTGGCTGAGTAGCAAGGCTACTCAGTCTGCTTTCCAAATGTGTGGGTCTACGGCTGGCTTAGACAGACCCATCAGAGACTGCTACTGGAACCAGGAAGGACTTTCTAACAGGGCAGTAATAAAGGAATGATTCTACAAGGGGCAAAGTCCCATCTTGTGGGAAATAGGGGACCCATCAAATATATTATATACCTGAAGGGGACCCTTTGAGATGGGTGATCTTCACTCATTCATATCCAAGCCCACTTTATTCCCCTTTGTCTGCCAACTATATTCACCCAAGGCATGCTCCCTGAAACCTCAAAGAGATGCCAAAATGACCTGTGTGCTAACGGCATCTTAAATTACTGTTTCCTTCTTACTTTCCTTACTGTACTTCAGCTTGGGCCACAAAACTTAACCTGAGAGGCCCAGGGAGATGTTAGCACATGCCTCACCTCTCACAAACCTGATGTGGTGTGGTGCAGTGTAGTATGTGTGTGGTGACTATACACCATGTGAGTGGGATGTGGGGGTATGCAGGTATATGAGGTGTGTGTGGTGAGGAATGGGGTATGTTTAGTATGTGTGTAAAGAATGTGGCACAGGGAATATGTCTGTCTGTCTAGGTATATGGAAGTTATATATGTGTGGTAAGTGTGGCACAGGGAATATGCCTGTCATCTGTCTGTCTGTCTGTCTAGGTGTATGTAACGTATATACATGTGGCATGCTTGTGTAGTGTGGTACAGTGTGGAGTGTGTGTGTGTGTGTGTGTGTGTGTGTGTGCACGCGTGCTATGTATCATATGTATGGGATGAGGACAAAGTTTATGAGCAACCTCACTGGTAGTAGGACCAAAACTGCTCTTCATGTGCTCAGGGTATCTTCAGTTGTCAACTTGACACACCTGGATGGAAGGAACCTCAGTTGCCTCCATTGGATTGGCAAGGGGCCATGTCTGTGGGGCACTTTCTAGATTGTTGATTGATGTGGGAGGGCCCAGCCTGATGTGGGAGGGCCCTGGGCAGGTGGTCCCTTGTTGTATAAAAGAGCAGGCTGAGCACCAGCCAGGGGAGCAAGCCAGTAAGTAACGTTCCTCCATGGTCTGTGCTTCAGCTCCTGCCTCCAGGTTCCCGCTCTGAGTTCCTGCCTTGGCTTCCCTTGGTGATGGACTGTGAACTATAAGCCAAATAAACCCTTTCTTCCCCAAGTTGGTTTGGTCAGGGTTTTAGCACAGCAACTGAAAGCAAACCAAGAAAAAAAAGCACAGTCCCTATGAACTAAATTTTCTTGATACACCAAATCCAGGCAACCCCACTAAAGTCTGCCCCACCCCCTCCACCCACACAGCTGAGGTCACCCAGGCCCAGCCTCTTTTGCAACTTTCCCAAGTCTGTGCACAGAAAGCGAGTAGGAAAATTCAGAGGGAAGTGGCCTCTCACCAAACTCTTAAGTTCTCTATCCTGGTCTGAATTAGACTGTTGCTCCAAGAAGAAAAGCCCAGACCCAGAAGAACTTCCACCTTCGGGGTTGAGGTGAGTGCTGCTCAGCCACGGCTGCCTATAAGTGCCCTGGAAGCTTGTCTGTCCTTCCATCTAGAAGCCCTGGTGCTATCTGAGTGTTGGTGGGGAGGAGTAGAGTCAGGGAGCAAGCATGAGGCTAAGAATCTGGCAGCTGCAGGGTTGAAATCTAGCCCAAAGACCCCTACACTGCAGGAAGTTCCTGGGCGTGGTGGCAAGAAAGGACTTCCCCTCCCACTCTCTGGGAACTGGGGCCCAGCATGGGGCTCTGCAAAGGCCGGCAGTACCAGACAGGACATGGGCGCCACAGCCTCAGTCCGAGGAGGGGAGGTGCTACTACCCCAGACCTGAGGGGCTGCCAGAAGCTGGAGCCCTCTGGGAGGGCTGGGTCCTGGAGTCCCCTTGCCATACAGACGGGGAACTTTCTGGTACCGAGTTGTGGGGCCATCAGGGAAAAATGATCCCTGGAATAGGAAATCAACCCTCTTGATCTAATTTCATAAATATTTCCCTGGCAAAAAGCTGCAATGCTGCATGAGCCAGTGAACAGAGTGGGGCAGATCTGAGCTCTACTCTAAACTGGCCACTAACTAGGTTTTGGATTTTGTTGTTTTGTGTGTGTGGATCAAATTCAGGTTGTCAGGCTTGTGCACTTTACCCACTGAGGCATCTGATTAGTTTTTGACTGAAAATTCTGCTTTGTGATAACAGCATCTTGTAAACTGCAAGTGTTTTATAATTACTAGGTATTATGTATTGGTAAAAATAATTTCTTTGGGGGCTGGAGAGATGGCTCAGTGGTTAAGAACACTGGTTGTTCTCACAGCAGACCCGGGTTCGAATCCCAGCACCCACATGGCAACTAACAACTGTCTATAACTCCAGTCCCAAGGGATCCGACAGCCTCCTCTGACCTCCACGGGAATTGCATGGCACAGGTGCACTTACCTACATGCAGGCAATACACGCATACACATAAAATTAAAATAATGAATAAAAATTTTTAAAAATTTTCTTTGGGTTTACTGATCAGTCCCCCACTACAAAGGTCCCGTGGAGATAGTAATTTGTGTGTATCTTCAGACTTACACTATGCTACTGCACAACAGGCATACACTACATGGGGGTGGGGTGCGTGGATGGACAGGTATAGGGATAGATGAATAGATAAATGGATGAATATTCAATGGATGACACGTGAATGGATTGGTAGCTATTTGTGGAAGCTTCATTATGCCCAACATCAGCCAGGCTTTGGGGACAAGAGGACAGAGAGGTAAGAGATACTGTCCTGAAAACAGGCAGGCTACCTGGGGGAGCAAGACAAATACCCCCAAAGGATTTAAAGAATAAGCACGCTGAGCCTCCTGAAGTCAGGGCTGTGGGTGTACTTTGTGGAGGAAGCAGGCCTAGACCTGTAAGAATCTGGGTGGGTAAGGCAGACTTTGAAGCGATACTGGCAGGCACCAAAGCCTATGTTCTTCTGATGGCATCTCTCCTATTCCCAGCTTGTAAGTTACATTGTTTTTTAGTTGCCATTTTCCATTATGTGGGATGGGGAGAGGAGTTGCTGCGGAACAAGACAAGAAACTAGGACAAGTACATACTGGGTGGGGACCCTGGGCCTGCTGCAGACTCCTCATCTGCCTCTGCTCAATAGTCTCCTTGCCAGCCTACATGGCACCTCACCTAACACAAATGAGGAAGGAGACTATGCCTGGGTCCTGGCTGGGACTGGTGGGACAATGGGAAGGTGAAGAATGAGAACTTCAAGAGTCCTTGCAGGTCTAGTCCCAGCAAGGGTTTGGCAGCAGCTCAGTCGCTCCAGCTTTGTAGAAAGTGGACAGGCCCTAGCTTTGGCTTGGAAATGCTGGCTTGCCAAAGCAGAAGAGGTAGTCCCATCTGATGTCCAGTCTGGGCTGGTTGAAGGCAGGTCCTGTATTCCAAGCTTGTTACTCACTGTTACTTAACAGTGAAGATGACTCAGCCTAACCACTAGAAGGATGGCCTTCTTCCCACTTTGAAGCTCTGAGTCAGTCCAGTGAGTGGAAAGAGGCTTAAAAAGACAAATGTGGCTATTGGCCAAGCAAGGGTAGAGAGGGAAGGGACCTCAGCTGCCATCTGAAACCTGGGAGTGTTCCTGAGAGAGCCCTGCTGCCAGTCTAGGTCACTCTCTTGCTGCTGGTCACCCTGAACCCAAGATCAAGGTTATTTTTAAATACTAGACTCATCAAATGTTTGCCCTTTGTGGGCTCAGGGTGGGGAAGTCTGCAGTGGCAGCAAACTGCAAGGGAGCATCCAGGGAAAGGGTTTCAGGAAGTGGAAGGGGTAGGAAAGATGCAAGGATTGGAAGATGTAAGTAAAACCCAAAGCAAAGACTTCGTACCCCAAGGGCTGGGTTTGGCAGAGGAACTGAGCCTTTCTCTGGGTGGTCCCCAGGAGAAATCCACTGCTGGTGAGAGGAAGAAACACTGAAGGGCAGGTCCAGTGTTTTCCATGAGCCTAGCATACTCGGATGCCTGAATTAAGTGACACTGAGGTCCTTCCAGTACTGGGCAAGGCTCTGCACAAGAAGTTTGAAATTCACCATGGTGGGCATATTTATATCATCAAAACTGGCAAGCACTGCAGACTGGGTCTCTGGCCCACACACGCCCCCACCTCCCCAGTTGTTAAACTCTAGGATTCTGTTATGCTATAAGAATATGACACATGCTACCTGCAGAGGAAGCCACGGCCATGAGCGATGCTCATTTCACCTGAGGGAATAGATTGTCCAAGGTTAAGTAACACTCCAGGCCACTGATGGGTCCCCCAAACTCAGGATTATTCCCTGGTGGGAGGCAGCCTCTCCCTGACCCTAGCCATCAGTGACTCGTCTTATCCGCAAGTCACACTCAGATGACTCTGGGCTACCACCCAGTCACGTGCTCTTTGCAAAAAGAGATTGAGTCTTTTTCTGCTATTTTTAAATTTAAGATTGAGTAACAAATTTGTTAGACATATGCAAGATAAAATGAGAGCTCTCAGCCTCTTGTCCATCTTTTCATACCTCTCTAAATGATGTTTCTACCCACAACTTTCTGTGTGTTTCCGGGACCAGCGTATTTGGAATATTAACCATAGAGTCACACTTAAAACTCCCTAATATTTCAGAGTACATAGGAATTGGCATTCAGTAGAAAGTCTATTATTGGTGGAAATTCAGGTAGAACACATGTGTGCTCTGAAAGGGGCACCAAGGGGCAAGTTGTGTGTTTCTCATTCTTTGACCTCCCAGTTAAAGGGATGGTCTCTCAGCACAGTGATACACTGCTACAGTTGCGGACACTGAGGGGTCTGAGGCAGATGATGGTGTGGCTCTGTGGTAGAGTACTTGCCTAGCAGGCTCCAGCCTGCTCTTTTGTTGCTGTTGTTTGAGACAGAATCTCCTCGTTGGAACTTAGTATGGAGACCAGGCTGGCCTCAGTCTCACAGAGATCCACCTGCTCTGCCTCCCGAGTGTTGGGAATAAAGGTGTGCGCCACCATGCTGCCTTTGCTCTTTTTCTTCTTTATTGTTTTTATTTTATGTGTATGAATGTGTTTCCTGCATGTATGTAAGTATACCCCTGTTGTACAAGTCCCACAGCAGTCAAAAGTGGTTGTCGGATCCCCTGGAACTGGAGTTACAGAGAGTTGTTAGCCACCATGTGGGTGCTGGGCCTCAAACCTGGGTCCTTTGCAAGAGCCACCAATGCTCTTAATGCTGAGTCATCTCTCTAGCCTTTTTTTTTTTTTTTTTTGGTCTTTTTGAGGCAGGGTCTCCCTGTAACCCCAAGTGACCTAGAACTCACTACATAGACCAGGCTGGCCTCAAACTCACAGAGATCTGCCTCCCTCTGCCTCCTAAGTGTCAGGATTAAAGGCATGCACCACTACACCCAACTCCTTGCTCTTTTTTTAAGCCTAGTATATTAATTGGCACTCTGGTTGTGCTCATTTTCTCATTGCTATGACAAAATGCCTCACAAAAGTAAGAAGTGAGGGTTTATTTGGACTCAGTTTGAGAAAACAATCCATCCTGGATGGGGAAGTCATGGCAGCAGGAGCTTGAGGGAGCTGGTCACATTGCATGTGCAATCAGGAAGCAGAGGGAGATGAGTGCTGGTGCTCAGCTTGCTTTCAACTTTTTATTCAGTCCAGGATCCTAGCCATGGAATGGTACCATCCACATTTAGGGTGTGTCGTCACATTTCAATTAATTCATTCTAGAAACTCACAGATATGCCCAGAGGTTTGTCTTCTAGGTGATTCTAAACCCTGTGAAATTGATAATCAATATAAATTATCACATCTAGTCTCTGGAGCTAGACCTGGATCCAAATCTCACCTCCAATTCAGGCTTCCATAATACAGAATGTGTGTTGTTAGGGACTGATCGTGTAACTTCTGGAAACGTCTGATTCTTAGTAAAAACAGAGATAATAGTGCCAATCCCATAGATATTTTGTGTGCAGTAAAATAACTAATATTTCTTAAGATGTTAATTTGTGCCAGTAAATGTATCACAATATATCAAATATAGTAGTGTAGTAATCCATTTAATCCACACAAGATGTCTACTGTTTGCTTGCATATTCACAGAGCTCTTAGCATAGCATCTGAAAAATGAATGTCGGCATGTAACGTGTGATGTGCTCTAACAATGTGTGTGGCCAGTCCCCAGTGTGCTGTGAAGGCAATCCCTCCATCTCCACATGATGCCCTTCCATCACAGCACAGGTCCTCACATACTTCTCCTGTCCAGCAGCCCCAGGTCCCTCATTCTAAGTGAACCTGTCACTTGGGCTGCCTTCTCCCAGTTCTCCTAAGGTTTTATTGCGCTCACCAAACCTGAGCCCACTGCCCCAGATGTCTACGTGCAAACAGTAGGGCATCAAACTAAGGTGACCAGAAGGCACCAAAGCACAGAAGAGTGTTGGCCTTCCATTCAAGCACTGGCTCATCTGTTTACTACAGTGTGGTGTTCTACGAGTGACTTGCTTCTCTCTCTCTTTCTCCCTCTCTCCTTCTCTCTCCTCTCTCTCCGTTTCCTTTTCTCTTTCTCCCCCTCTCTCCCTCCCCATCCTTGTGGTTCTAGAGATGGCACCTAGGCCAGTTCACATTAGGCCAGTGTTGTAGTGCTAAACAGTGTCCCCAGTGGAATGACATTTCTCTGAGCCCCGGTTGTTCTCATCTCACCTGCTCCACAGGTACTTGGCACAGCCAGTGGTGGATCTTGAACTGGCTCAGCAAACTTCCCTAAGTTACTCCATTTTGTTCAGAGCTATTTCAGCAGCAACTTTGCTCCACACCGAAAGGAAAAGGGGGGCAACCTTGGGCCTTGGAAAATTGCCCTCGCCATGAATCATGGAATGTGCTAATTCCAGATATTATATTTTTACTAACCAGCTTGTTTTCGCTTCTGTAACCTGCTTGCTGTCTTGGGTCACCCTGACACAGGGCATAAGACCACCCTTGTTATCTTGTTATTGTATGACCACCTAGAAGTCATTTACCTTGACTGTCTTATTATATTTATTATGGCTAAAACAGTTGGCTAGTTTTAAGGTCACAAAGTTGATTGCCAAGTTATATGACTGTATCACTTCGCTTCTGTAACCTGCTTGCTGTCTTGGGTTGCCCTGACACAGGGCACAAGACCACCCTTATTATCCTGTTATTGTATGACCACCTGGAAGTTATTTACCTTGACTGTCTTATTTTACTTGTTATGGCTAAAGCAGTTGGCTAGTTTTTAATGTCACAAAGTTGAGTGCCAAGTTATATGACTGTATCACTTGTCTGTACAATGATTGGTTGTTAATTAATAGAATCAAAATACTGCTATGTTGTACAGACCTGATTGGTTCAGAAATGTCCTATTTTAATAATAATTCTGTAATCCTATAAAAACTCTGACTTAACAATCATCAGGGCTGCTTCTACTCCCGAGATAGACAGCCCGGCCGGTCAAAAATTAAAATTTACCTTGCTACTTTTCTTAAAGTGGTGTTGGTGATTTTTTTTACAAACTATCCTATAACAGATCTTTCCTGTCGTCTGCCTCCTTTTTGAAACTCTGACTCCTTCTAAGACGTTGTATTGGTCATGTTTATTTTGGTTTTGTTTTTGTTTTTTCGTCTTTTTGAGACAGGATCTCCCTGTAGCCCCAGCTGGCCTAGACTGAACTCACTATGTAGACCAGAGTAGCCTTGAACTCAGAGATTCACCTGCTTCCGCTTCCTGAGTGCTGGGATTAAAGGCATGCACCACCACTCCTGGCTTGTATTGATCTTTTAAGCTAAGTTAATACGCTATACCAAAGTGTTAGGAAACAGCAACCCATTGCTCCCAGGCCCCTTCCAAAAATGATAACTAATACTTGGAGACATCAAGAATTTTCAAGGACTTCTTAGCTACTACTTGTTTGGTTGCCCTTGTGGGCAGCAACATCATTGCAGTATGCCAGCTTGGGTTAGTATCTTGAATTTCCTGCCTCTACATCTCTGGAGTATGGGAAATGTTTGCTAAGGTAGATGGATGAAGAATGAATGAATTACGTGGGATATCCATAGCCCACCTTAATCTTGCAACCTCCCCAGAAGTCTTTTTCATTCTCCATTCCCAGAATTTCTTATGCCATCCTCTCCTAGGAAATACTGTGCTATACACCGCATGTCTCATTTCTTCAGGCCCACCATACTGTCACCACTATACCTTCTCTGTATCTTTTCTTATTGAATTTCCTATAACACATTTGATCATATTTAGACCCCTCCCCTATCTGTACCCTTCCCAAAGCTCCCCCCACTGGTTTTCATGCATTCTGCCATGAATATTAAGGCCTATCAAGGCAAGTTTGCCCCCAAATGTCCCCCAGTGTGAGTTCATCCACTGGAGCCTGCTCAACCTACCCAGCATCACTTCCTTAAAGGAAACCAACTCTCCCTCTCCTAGCAATCATTGGTTACCAACGGTTCCTCAGCTAAGGTTGGGGCTTCTTATCCAGTTCCCCGCTTCCATGCTGGGTTTTTGTGTAGTTTGAGCTTGCTCACAGGGGTCTTTTGCATGTGTCACCATTGCTGTAAGTTCATATGAGCAACTTCCCAGATGCCTGGAAAAGGCTGTTTCTTCGTGGTCATCTACCACCCCCGGCTCTTACAGCCTTTCTGCCCCCTCTTCCACAGTGGTCCCTGAGCCTTGGGTGGCAAAGGTTTGAGATAGGTGTCCTACTCAGGGGCACGCACTCAGGGGTCTCATTCTCTGCACTTTGGCCAGTTGTGGCTTTCTGGGTTCTCACTAGCTGTTGCATGAGGAAGCTTTGCTGATGAGAGTTGAGAGATGTATTACCTTCTCTGTGTCTCAGGAACACCTTCTGGTGTCGCTCGGTCCCTGTTCCTACTTCCCCGATGTTTCTGATAGTGGGCTTCTATTTCATCTGTGCACTCCAAGCAACAAGTCCATGGCTTTGCATGTATTCGCATCACAAGACGATGGTACATATGTTTATGTTCAACAATGCACATGTTAATTAGTTGAATTTAACCATTTACAACGTATACATTATATATTTCAAAACAAAGTGCTGGGAGTTATGGATGTGACTCGGTGGTAGAGTGTTCACCTAACATTCATAAAGCCCTGGATTCAAGAAAAAAAAATATTAATGACATTTTAATCTTAGCTTATAGTTCAATGATATTGCATGCATAATTTAGCATCAACTCTTAGATCATAGGGCATGAGCATTTTCCCACATATAACAAAATGTGGCATGGCTTAACTATCTCTTTATTGTTAGATGTTTATAAACGATACTGAAAAGGCAGTCGTGAACAAGTCTTTGCTCAAGTTTTTGATGATTTCCTTGGGACAAATTCCTAGAAGTAGAGGTCAGAAATATTTAAGGCTCTCCACACTTGCTGCCAAGTAGACTTCCAGAAACATGTAACAATTTCTCTCCCTCCAGCTGCAGAAGAAAAAGGCCTTGTGATTCTGCAAGTACAGCCATACTTTGGCTGGGGGAGGGATGCTCTCCTAGCCAAAGCCTCCAGGCAGTCTTGACAATGGACCCCTTGTCCTGCCCCATCCTCTCTTCCCACACTGCCTTCCATCCTGGTTCTAGGATATGCTGTCTTGAAGGCCTCTGTTCAGATCTGCCCTGCTTCCTGGCAATCCAGGTTGACTTCTGAGAGCAGGGCTGGTAGAGCTGAAGGGTGAGTGTTGCTGTCCTGTGGAATCACAGCACTCCCAGCCTTGGGAGGCCCCTAGGAAAAGCAAGGGGAGGGTGTGCACAGGGTGTTAAGTCATGTGTGTCTCAGAGAACAGCTTTGCTGGTGTCCTCTGCACAGGCATCCTGATAATTCAGCTGCAATGACAGTGACCACAGGCAACACTAGCCAGCATGGAAATGACCTTTGTTTCCTCACAGGCTCTGAAGTCCCTCATGAACCCCCGGAAGAAAGTGGACTTGAAACTTATCATTGTTGGAGCACTTGGGTAAGCCACGCCCAGCTGCTGCAGTGTAATAACTGCAAACAGCCTCTCTCGGGAGTGCTTAGACTTCTGGGCTATGCTCCCACCTCCTATGGGTCGTTTCTGAGTGCACCATACCTATGGAAAGGGAGCTAGTTGGAAGAAAGAGGCTAGCAGTAAGTCCAGCTCTGCAGAATTCAGCTGTGGAGCCATTTAGCATCTCTGGGCCCTCCTCTACCTGCCATGCCCAGAAAAATCTGAGCACTGTTATAGGGTATTCAGTTTTCTCCAAAATTGCTTGCTTTGACTGGCCTCCCTCTGCTTCTAGAAACTATTTCTAGTCCCTTGCTTCTCCAAAGGTGGTCCCTGGACCACAGATGTTACAAATTGAGAATCTGAGAGAGTCTCTCAAAAAAACAGAGCCCACCCTAGGGGTTATACTACTGCCCTTCTCTTACATGCCGTTCCCCCCCTCTCTTAACACCTATGCTTAAATCTATGTCAAAGCCTTTTTAAAATAAATTTCAACTTTGTGTCAAAGAAAAGATTCAAAATTTTTTTTAATTATATAGAAAGAAATTTAGAGACTCAAGGAAGGGCTAGAGTGCAAGGGGCATGGTAATATTCTAAGAATGGCATAGCTGTGTTTGTTTATAGGCGTTTGTTCACACATGTCTGGGATTTTTCCTCAGAGTGGGAAAGACCTCTCTCCTTCACCAATATGTGCACAAGACGTTTTATGAAGAATACCAGACCACACTGGGGGCCAGCATCCTCTCCAAAATCATCATATTGGATGACACAACTTTGAAGCTCCAGGTAAGTAGTCTCCTCTACATCTTTAACACATGTAAAATCATCCAAATACACTCCAAAATTATCCATACTTCTTGGATAGGCATTTACATAGCAATATGCACTAGAAAGTCAAATGACCTGGAGCGAGATCAACAAACTACAATTCATGAACCAAATCTTGTCTCTTCACCGGGCAAGCCATCCCCACCTGCTTACCTAGTCTTTTGCACTAAAATGGCAGAAGTGAATAGTGGCAACAGAGACAGATGACCTACAAAGCCAAAAGCATTTACTATTGGGGGCTGAGGTAACATGGAGGAAAAATGAGAGCTCAAGTGCACAAGCGCTCAGGATGCTAATTACTAGTACGAAGGTGCGGTAAAGTACCCAGGTGGGAGGGCTGCAGTGCCTGGTGTGGAAGGGTTACACATACTGACCAACACAGGGCTTTCCCCAGTGAAGCTCCAGGTATGATATACCCTTTGTCGGACCTTCCTTTGGCCACTCATCACAGCCCTGTGGGGCGACTGCTCTTCCCCTCCAGATCTGGGACACAGGTGGTCAAGAGCGGTTCCGCTCCATGGTATCCACATTCTACAAAGGCTCAGATGGCTGCATCCTGGCCTTTGATGTCACTGATCCTGAATCCTTTGAAGCCCTGGACATCTGGCGGGGTGACGTCCTGGCAAAGATCATCCCCTTGGAGCAGTCTTACCCCATGGTGGTCCTGGGCAACAAAATCGATCTAGCAGACAGGAAGGTATTGTTCATTCATTCATTCAACACATTTTATGTAACAACTGCATACCATGTGCTGTGTTGGTGTTGAATCAGACACAGACCTTACTTCTAAATTTTACAGTCTAGTAATGACAATTTTGGTACAATATAGTAAACGCAATAACAGCGATATACCTTAAAGATTTGGGAACCACAATGACAGGGCATCTAAGACCATAATAGAGGGCTGGCTTCCTAGAAATGGGTTCTAGGCTGAAGAAACAGCATGATAAGAACTGAGAAATTAAGGCAATACTTTTTAGTGACAGACAGTAGAGGAGTTAAGACCCCAGAGGTGCCAGGAGTCAGGTGTTAGTGGAATTTTATTTAATCTTAGAACAGCATTTCTACCTAGAGTCAGGTAGAGATCTGAAGTTATCAATTCTTGACTCCACAAGTTTTCTGGGAAATTAGTAATTTTTCATTAAGTTATATATATTAAGATGGTGAATATCATTACAGCTAGTCTACCCCATAACTCCAGTGGCCCCACCTGTGTGGGTGGTAGCCACACAGGAAAAGAGGTTGTCTTAAATTGTAAAGATATTCTGTGCAAAATGAAGCCCAAATAATACCTAAGGAGCAGCTTGAGGTCTCCCTCATGGTCCAGAGGTTAGGATTTCTGGTTTTCACCCAGGTGGCCTGGATTCAACTCCCAATCTAGGGACATTAAAGTTTGCCTAATGTGATCTCACATGCCTTTAATCCCAGCACTCAGGAGGCAAAGGCCAGCCAGTCTATGTGGTTACATGGTGAGTTCGAGACCTGCTGGGGCTACAGGGAGACTGTCTCAAAAAGAGAAAAAAAAAAAAAAAAAAAAAAGCCGGGCAGGGGGGCATACGCCTTTAATCCCACCACTTGGGAGGCAGAGGCAGGCGGATCTTTGTGGGGTGGAGGCCAGCCTGGTCTACATAGTGAGTTCCAGGACAGCTGGGGCTACAAGGAGACCCTGTCTCACAAAGAAAAAAAAAAAAAAAAAAAAAAAAAAATGGGCAGTACATTCTTAGTATTTCAAATGGAAAGTGTGATGGGGAACTGAATCATTGTGTCTAAACCCTGTTTTCACAATAGCTCAAACAGAAAAATTACAGGAGAATTGAACCACAACTTGGTAGCATGAAGTATAGTGATGGACAAGAGAAGGGCGGGAAGCAGGAGGGTACTTCCAACCCCCCTCCCCCCACCGGCTACAGAGAGGAGAGGCCCCTGTTCAAGGAGGAAGACATGTTTGGTTTGGATATCCAGAGTCTGAGAAGCTTGGAGAGCAACCTCAGACAACTTCAGAACTGGCAAGTTTTAAAATACCTAAGAACAAAACTTCAGGGGAGAAGTCTGTGCTGGAAACAACTGGAAGTCTTCAGCTCTATGGGGTCACTTCAGGTTGGAAACAGTGTCAGTTCTCCAATTACAAATATCCAATCTCAGATAATAATCAGAGTGCTGTGTCTCCCGTTCTTTCCCACGGGAGCCAGCTACAATGGGAATTTCATTATCAACCTTCCAAGCTCACGGTCCCCATCTGCTTAGCTGAGATAGTAGTGCTGGTGACCAGTCCAGTCCGGAGTGAAACAGGAAGAAGGGGAAGTAGTCAAAGAGCAGGACAGTTCCTATTTGACTGGTCTCTCATGACGAAGTTTTGTGTTCTCCAGCCTGGCAGGTATGAGAATCGTTCTGTGAGTTATTTCTTTGGGTCCTTAAGATTCCTCTACCCGGTGACATTTCATTGTGCCTTCCATAAGCAATTGTCCTGCATCTGCTCCCTTTCTTCCCTCGATTTCAACTAGTCCTCTTGGTAGCTCCAACTTGGCTGTTACTGTGTGGAAGCTGCCTCCTGCCCTAGGCACACTCATGCATTGTAGCTGTGTTATGGGGAGCTGGTTCTCTCCACCCCATAGCCTTTCACCTTAGAACCTTCAGGTATGTGCCAGGCCCCAGTGTATCATGCCCACCAGGCCATATATTAATGGTAAACCTCTACACCACCTTTTTCTTCTTAGGAGAGGGAGGGAGGAATAGTTGTACTTAAAACTTTGTAAAGGAACCCTGTCTAGTCTTCTCTTTTAAGCCTTTTGTATTCATTCTGGGAGTTTTAGGGTCATCTAAGAAATTTTTCATCATGAACCCTTGGAAATATGGACAGTCCCAAGACAGACTCCATCCTACTTCACATCTGAAGTCTGTGTGCCAATACCCAACTCTCCATTGTAACATCTCATTTCATATATTTGCAGGTCATGGGGTAAGCTGAGGGAGTTCAGAAGTAGGAGGCCCATGTCTTCTCAGTGAAGGAGGAAACCAGAAAGGAGGCATAAGAATTGTGGAGGAGCTTGGTCATTTAGAATTTTTCTGAATTTCATAGACCCTAAATTAATATAATGTAGGAGGATTATGGTACTTGGGTAATTAAACACAAAAAAAGCGAGGATGAGCCGATGGAGAACAAGGTGTTAGGACATGAAGGGCTCAGCTGAAAGAGGAGACCATGAACTTGGGGTAGTGTCTATGGAATGTGCTTTAACAGCCCTGCACTGAGTAAATGCCAGGAACAAGAGACCTAGGACTGCAGTTTTTCCAAGCAAGAGAATCAAAGTATGGGGCTGGGGGAGGTAGGGAGGTCCAAGGAAAGCTGAAGGATAGGACAGGGGAGTGGGATGTTGGAGTATCAGAGGTTGGAGATCAGGGCAGGAGTGGGTGTCCAGAGTTGAAAAGTTCATCAGGGAGCCCAAGGTAGGAACTCAGGGCGGGAACCTGGAGGCAGGAGCTGGAACACAGGCCATGGTCATAGAAAGGAAGGCTGAGTTTGCATTTAAAGACTGGATCTGCCCACATGAAGAAGAGGGGCAGTGAAGAGATTGCTGGAGGGAAAGGAGTTCTGTGGCTACCTGAGCGGTGTCTGCCTTGTATTGATGGGGAGAGGAAGCCACACTAGATCGTAAATGTTCAGTGAATGAGAGGTACCTGTCAGGGTGAAGGGCAGGTAAAGACTCACAAGCCTCAGGGGTGAGTGTTGCTTTAGAGAGAGAGGAAGAATAAGAGTGTGAAAGAAGCAGTGAGGCGCCAGGTGAGCTAAGCCCCTCTGCCACCTGTGGAGAGGCAGATATGGGAATAATCTCAGTGGAGATGGCCAAGGGGAGATGCAGGCCCAGGAAAAACTGGGGTAGAGACAGATGAAGATCGGCCAAGATGGGGTAGAGAACAGATGAAGGGAGTTTGTCAGCAAGATAGGCCCAAGGCAAGGGTTTGGAGGGAGGTGGCCTAGTGGGGACTGGCAGTAAGAAGTACTGAACAATAACAAAATGAGGACAGGGAAGCAAGGGAGAGGAACTGCAATGACAGAGTAAGACTTAACTCAGAGATCCTTCATTGTAAGCTGGGAACTCCAGCCCCCAGATGTCCTTGCTCTGGTGTTGATTTAGCAAGGGGTCCACCAGCCAATAGTAAGATGCTTTTTTTTTTTTTCAGGAGAAAAAGCATCTTAGATGCTAGAGCTTTAAGGAATTTATTTTTGGGAACATGAATGTTTTGCTCTATTACCAGCTGTTTTACTAGCTGGTATTACACGTGCTAATTTTAAACTAAGCAATCATTTTAAAGACAGAGAGATGAAATCCCGGTGTGGTGGTACACACCTTTAATACCAGCACTTGGGAGGCAGAGACTGGCAATCTCTGTGAGTTCAAGGCCAGCCTAGTCTACATAGTGAGTTCCAGGTCAGTTAGGGCTACAGGGAGACCCTGTCTCAAAAACATAAAAAAAAGTGCCAGACATGATAGCACATGCCTTTAGTCCCAGCACTTGGGAGGCAAAGGCAGGCGGATCTCTGTGAGTTCAAGGCCAGCCTGGTCTACAAAGCAACTTCTAGGCCAGCTAGAGCTACAGGGAGACCCTGTCTCAAAAAGACAAAAAGAGGAGGAGGAGGAGGAGGAGGAGGAGGAGGAGGAAGAGGAGGAGGAGGAAATTTAAAAATTCTTTGAGTACCTAGGTTACTGCCAATGGACAAGGTATTAATATCTAATGGTTATTTCAAGATGTCATCTAGGTATCCTTATTAGTATCTAGTGATTGTTTGCATATTACTAGTGAGAACATCTGTGAGTCTCCAAATAGTCTAGGAGACTATTACCCTAAGCTATGAGGGATCTCATCAGTTCTTGGGCATCTGTGTCCCACAGGAGAGAGCATTCCCGACCAATGCTGGGCTCCCTCCTCCCAGAAGCAGAAGCTTAGACATCAGAGGCCAAGATTGAGACCTGGACATTCTTGCTAAGCTGACCCCGATCTTCATTCTGCAGTCTTAAGTTGCAAACCTCACAATGCCAGCAATGCTGATAGAAAACACTGGAAGGAATACACTAGCCACTGAGATTTCCTGCCACTCCTGAAGCCAAGGGAGCAAGGACCAGAGATACAGTGGACAGTAGTGGCACTTTTTAACTTCAGTAAGACAGGTGTTCCCAGAACCTGCAAGAGCAGGAAGAATCTGATGAAGGGCAGTTTTTGGTCTCCCCTACCTGCCCGGTGTTCTAGAAGAGGCACAGAATGGCCCTTTCTCTAGAAGAAAGACCTTTATTCCCTTAAATAAATTTAAATAATAGTTTTTAAAAAGTATTGGCCACAGAAAATATAAAATACATATGGTGATTTTTCCTCCTCAGAATAACTAATTAACTGTCAGACTCTATGGTACCAGTCACCTTTGGAAATAATACAAAAGGACAGTAGAGCATTTTCCAACCAGCAGCCCTAAACTGCACCCAGCTGTTTGCACTTAGAAGCAATGTCCCCACTCAGCTGGCTTACACAGTCAGGCCAAGAACTAAAAGGGTCCTGAGACTGAGCTCAAGGAAGCTTCAGTCTAGTGCGTGACAGTAAGAAGAGCAAGGTTCTAATGCAGAGTCCTTTGGGCCGTTCAGATGCCAGGAAGGGAGGGGGCTGAGCAGTGCTGCATCCTCCAGGCTGTCTTCCCTAAACATGTGACCAGGGCATGCTTCTGAACCTCTCTGAGCCTCAGTGTTCCTCCCTATAAAGTAGAGCTAATAACATCCATCTCAGAGTTAGCGCTTAGGTGACTCGGCCTAATGCAGCACCTTGCAGATTCATATTAGGAATTGAAAAGACAAAATGCGTAGCTGCAGACACAAGGTAGGTTTTCAATCACCAAGAGCAATGGTAACGGTGTGGTAAGAGGATGGGGCTAGATGATGGAAGTAAGGATAGTGGTGACAGGGTTGTCTTAGCCTGTTTTCTGTTTGCTATAACAATACCTAAGACTGAGTGATTTTATTTAAAATATATAAATATAGGATATATATGGACTTACTTTGATTCACAGTTCTGAAGGCTGGGAAGTCCAAGATCACGGTGCTCCCAAGGGCACCACGCTTCTTCAACTCATGGCAGAAAATGGAAGAGTAAACAGGAAAAAGGCAGAGCCTTAGAGGTGACATTCTGGTTAGCTTTCTATTGCTGTGATTAAAAATACTGGCTGGAGAGATGGCTCAATGGTTAAGAGCACTGACTGCTCTTGTGGAGCACCCACATGGTGGCTACGAACTGTCTTTAACTCCAGTTCCAGGGGAATCCGACGCCCTCTTCTGACCTCCATGGCATTGCACAACATGGGTGCACTCACATACATGCAGGCAATACACTCATACACATAAAATAAAAATAATAAATAAAATATTTTTTAAAATACTGGCAAAAACCAATGTGGGGAGGAAAGGGTTTATTTGGCTTATAGCACAGTCCATCATCAAGGGAAGCCAAGGAAGGAAATCAGGGCAGGAACCTGTAGTACAGACCATGGAGGAATGCTGCTCATTGCTTGCTCCTCTGGCCTGTGCTCAGCCTGCTTAGACAACACAGGCCTACCTTCCCAGGAGGCAGCACCACAGTGGGCTGGGCCCTCCCACATCACTCAACAATCAAGAAAATGTCCCACAGATATGGCCACAGGCCAATCCAATGGCAGAAATTCCTCACTTGAGGGTCCCTCTACCCAGGTGTGTCAAGTTGACAACAGACGCTGTCTAACACAGGTGGCCTCACTTTCTGACAACCTGCTCTCAGGGTGGGTAACAGTCTCCCAGGGCAAGAGCTTCTTCCTGAAGAAAGGTGTTAATCCTTTTTTGTTCTTTTTTAAAATTATATGTGTGCTGGGCATGGTGGCACATGTCTTTAATCACAGCATTCAAGAGGCAGAGGCAAAGACAGGTGAATCTCTGAGATCAAGGCCAACCTGGTCTACATAGCAAGTTCCAGGCCAGCTGGGATTACAGAGAGACCCCATCACAAAACAACAACAAAAAATTTATAAGGGGGAGTGTACTCATGCATGTGCAGAGGTCAAAGGGGGACATCAATTGTCTTGCTCTAACATGGTCCTCCTTACTCCCTTGAGATAGAGTCACTGAACATGAAACTTGCCATTTTGGCAAGTCTGGCTGGTCAGTGAGCCTCCTGGAGCCACCTGTCTCTAGTACACAACACGTGACCATGACCAGCTTTTATGTGGGTACTGGGGATTTGAACACAGATCCTCATGCCTGAGTAGCAAATGCTCTTATCCATTGAGCTATTTCCCTAGCCCCATGTAAATCCATCTTAATGACCTAATCCCCCTTTTGATACCCCACCTCCTTTCCTCTCAGCATAATTACATAGAGGACCAGTTTCAACACAGAGGGAACAAACTGCACTGAATCCACAGCAGTGACAATGACAATGACAATGACACCAACAATACAGGACAGTGATCATTTCTCTCCCGCAGGTGCCCCAGGAGGTGGCCCATGGATGGTGTAAAGAGAAGGACATGCCTTACTTTGAAGTTAGTGCCAAGAATGACATCAATGTGGTACAAGCCTTTGAGGTGTTGGCTGGCCGAGCCCTGCTGAGGGTGAGTGGTGTGGTGGTGGGAATCGGTCAAGCCTGCCATAGGCAGGGGTCTCTGTGATCTTCCAAAGAAGAAAATATAGGTGTAGATAGGGATGTAGAGGGGACAGGAGTGCTTACCTTAGTGACTCAGTAGCTAGATTCTGGGGCCCCAAGAGTCATAAAGTACCTAGGCCTAAGTCTGGCCAGCTGTCACAATCCTTTGTGGGGTACCTAAAAGCTTCAGTCCTGGGCCTCATACCTGGAGATTCTAATTTAGTGGAGTTTGAGAAGTAGTGTCTAGACCCATCCTCATTGTGGGACAAAAGCCCCATGGGACCAAGCATTTATCCAAGTGGACTGTCTAACCTGCCAGAGTTGACAGACGCCAGTCAGAAAGATGAATAGATCAGGTGCCTTTGTGTGATAGCTCAAAAAACTTGTGCTGTGTGTGGCATTGGGGACCATCAGTCTCAGGAGGGAGACAAGGGAAGCATGAGTGATGGCAGTTCAGTTTTGGCATGGTGGGGAGACTTGGTGATGGGGTCCAGGGTAGGGGCATAGTGATGGTCCACATGATGGAATTGGTCGCTGAGGGCTATTGAGACATAATTTCATGGTTCTGGCTTTCTGTTGTTTTGTTTCTTGAGATAAGATCTTGCTAGGTAGCCTAGGCTGATTTCAAATTCACAATCCTCTGCCTCTTCCTCTGCAGTGCTTGGGTCACAGGTGTGTGCGACCATGCCCTGCTAATGGCCAAACTTTAACGTTGCTCTGATGTGGAGTTTGAAAGCTGGTTTCATTGTTCTGCCACCTTGACTAAGGTGGACTTCTTAAGAAAAGGGAGAGGATCATCAGAGTGACTTTGAACGGAGGAACTGAACAGGAGTGGTTGGGAGGAGTCCCCTGGTGGGAATGTCTACCATCATCCTGCCCTCATGGGTAACAGACTGATTTGCCTGACCCATGCTGCCCTGGAGAGAAGGGTTCAAGACCCTGTTGGCAGTTGTCCATGGTAAGGACAAGCAGCAGCTGCCTCTAGCAGCTGCACAAAGAAAAAATGAGAGCTCACCCTGTTCACATAGCCCAGCCTGGATCTTGTCATCCTTTGGCCGCCAGCCCTCACTGCCTCCTGAGAAACAGCAGCAAAGGGCATCCGTCTCCATGCTGATAAAGAAATGTGGCTTTGTTACACAATCAGGAAAGCTGGCTCCTAAAATGGAGATGAGCCTGCTTGTACCATTGGACAGGACCAATTATTACCAAGTATCAGGATATGTAGGTCTGCTTCCCCACAAACACAGTCAAATTATTGCCGAACATTCAGTCACAAGGAAACTTCTCTCAGCTCACCACCATTGTCCATATACGACCACAGGGTCTAGATGTGGTCATCATCTGTCCTTTCCTTCCTATTGAATAGGAGTTGAAGTGTGTCTTTCCTACTGTGCCACTTTTAGGATATGATATCTTGCAGATGATTTGTTCTTAACATCCTTTCTGGCAAAAGCATAGATTGGCAATTTCACATCAGTCCCTGATACTTGTGCATAAAGTTGAGCAGAAGTCTGGAGGTTATAGGTGTGTCCTCAGTCAGACTGACCTAGATTAAGGACCTATCCTAGTATTTTCAGATGGATACCTGGCAAAACATATGACTGATTGGAGCCTCAGTTTCCCCGTGTACAAAATGAAAATAATTCCATTCCAAAAACATTTCCGGAGTTGTCATTCAAGGGCTGGAGCTATGGGCCTCAGTGCACTCTGACTCAGTAGTGTGATGCATGAGATGAACAGAGTGAGGTAAGTGATGTAGGGACTGTAGCAAAGGTGGGATGACTCAGGCAGCCGGCAGAAAGGGGAACAGAAGAGCCACCACAGAGAGTGGTATTTGGAAAGTGCTTACAGATGGCAGCAGGCCTTTGGGGGTGTGGGGAGGAGGGAAAGAAGGGCAGACAATAGGGCAAGGCCAGAGGCCCAGGCTTAAATGCATGGGGCTCATGTGAGAAACCAGCTCTGAGTTGAGCTTGCAAGGGAAGGAAATGTGACATGAAGTGTACAAGGTGAGTGGACATATGGGTGATGAAGTCAGCAAGGCCTCATGACCTATGGCCACAGGAGCTAGGACCCTGTGCTGAAGAGCTAGGGTTCCCAGGTGGTGCTGCTAGGCTGGCCTTTGTACTTGGGGACACATCCTTTAGCAGTGTATCTACACTCAAAAAATTAGGAATGTTTTCACATGCACACAAGCGTACTATGGGATGGCAAGTGAAATTCACATGGATTTCTACAGAGAAGTTTGCAAACATATTTTGACATTTGCCTCCTATTAGAGAGTTTGTGTTCTCCTTCACACCAGCCCTGGTGTCGCTGCAGGAAGGAGGGAGCCCCAGGCTGGGGGGGAACCTGGTCTCTGAAGTTGGGCAGAGAATGCTTTAAATTCTGCCTCTACCTCTTTCTCACTGCATGATATTGAACAAGTCATGTGGCCCCCCATCCGACAAGTGCCAATAATATTGTTCTTATGGGATTTTTGTGAGGATTAAATAAAATGCTATTTCACAGAAAAGGCATCAAATAAAAGATTGGTGTCTTTAAATGAGAGCCATGTTTAAGAGTTCTCAGCAGGAGCGCTTCGTGATGCAGAGGAAGTAGACTCAATGAGTGATTAAGAGGCTGCTGTAATAATCCAGGCAGAAAATGATGAAAATAGCAAGGAGGGAGGGAATTGAAGAGACTTTGGAGGTGGAATCTGGAATTGATGAGGGTCACATTAGGAGGGATGGAAGCAGGACCAGCGTGCATTGACAACAAAGTTTCTAGCTTGACCAGTGGAGGCACAAAGGACTAGTGGTGCCATGAGGCAAGACAGGACCCAGAGGAGAAAGCAGGGCTTCAAGAGAAGGCAGGGAGATCCATTTTGGCATTGCACTGGAGTTTCCTAGGGACAGATGGAAACATCTGTGTCCTGCAGGAAGCTCAGAGCAGGATGAAGGACATTTTGTGAGTCATTTGCCAAGAATCCAGAGGAGGTGTTCAGCATTCTGCCAAAGCAGAAGGCAGATAGTTTACTTTACTGTCCCAATTTAACCACATTCAAAGATTAGGTACTTAGTTATTTCAAGAGATAATTTAGAACAACCTCATCATCAAAGAAGAGACTCCCTTCTTTCAGGTTCAGAATGGTGGGTTCTTGGTTTTAGAAAGTGATCAATACTAGAATTTGGGGTATAGCTCAGTGGTAAAGCATTTGCCTATCACGGACAAGGCAAAAAAAAACTTTACAAAGCCTTCCTCCTTGGGCTGGTCAAGCTCAGCTTAAGGGACATGAAATGAGGTATGGAGGCCCAGTTCTTTTGAGCTAATTGAGGCAAAGTACAATCACCACAGCTGGCAGGGAAGGAGGTTGGCTGATACCTGTTTAATGAAATGATTCATATGTGTGAGATCCTCAAAGTGCAGGACCCAAAGTCAAGACCATGAGACAGCCAGGCCAGAGGATAAGGACATACGTCCACACTCATACCTCTCAAATGAGGCACATGTCAGAATCTCCCAGTATTTACAGTCAGATATATGAGGTGTCCAAAGGCCTGGAGACAAGAGGTACAGAGAAACCTAACTACAGGAAGTGGGTCACTTAGAAGCTCTGAGGAGCAATTTGCTGCCATTGCCAGATGAAAACAATATAAGTAGAATGACCTCATGATTGACTTGTACCTTGGAAGATGTGACTGTTATTAGGAGAACTGGTGCAAAGACCTCCAACATTTCTAAAGCAGCAAATCTGGAAGCTTCTCACAACCAGGATGGCATCTGTCTGTTCCCAAAGCATAGGGGAGCTCAGAGATCCCTATATCAGCTCCAAGAATCCAAATCTTTCGCCAAAGCCAGTATCTGTGGACAAGGGCACAGGCTCCTATTGGCAAGGAGCTTGGGGCTCTGTGCGGCTCCAGACCTTCATGTACCTGACAAGAGACTGATGCATGCTCAAGGGCGACAAAGCAACAGACATTGCCCTGGGTCTAAGAGACCTGATTAGGAAAGTTCCTTATCTTAGTCAAGGTCTCTTGGCTGTCACAAAGAAAGAAGAGACCCAGAAACTAGCTAAGAGAATTCTTTCAGAAGCCCATGCCAGCAGAGAGATGGATCTGCTGTAATGAAAGGGGATTTCAATAGTGATACTCTGCTCTTGTTCCTTGCTGAGAGATTCAGAGATGCTGGGATTTTTTAACCAAAATTAGCTCAGTAGATTGAGGGAGTCCTGTCCGCAGCAGTGTGGGGAAAGGCATAACTGGCCAGAGCCTGCACCCCCGGCAAAGCCAGCTAGGTAAGGAACCACATGGCGCTGTTCTCTCTCCTAAGCTCCTCTGTGGAAGGCTCTCTGCTCCTTCAGGTGACAGCTGGGGAAGCCATAGGATATTCTGCAGACAGTTCTGTAAGCTGCAAACCAGGATCCTTCCCAGTGAAGGACAAACATCTAGGATGCAGGGACATCCCTAGAGTTCCCATGAGGGAGAGACTTTCATCTCACTCAACCCCAAGCACTAATTCTCCCTATATAAATATGCATCCTAAGTCAAAACTCTGATAATTCTAAAGAATTTGCTGAGGGATAGCCAATGTTCATCATTTAAGGTTACTAAGGGAAGACGATACTTTGTTGGCTCTGAGACCCTACAAGGGAGGGCTGAAAAATGAGGCTTTCCAGGAAATCCTTTGGGAAGAAAGACTAGCCCTTGTGTGTCTTCGGGGACCACTATCATCAAGATGCAGCAAGAGGGGTATGACATTACTTTCTGAGGCCCAATGTTATGGGCATTAAGGGTTCGGCTGGCAATTCAGCTGGGAGACTGACCTGCAAACCTAGGTGCTGTGGAGAAGATAAAAATCAGACAGGCGCATGGCCCTGTCCCTGGAGCAACTGACAAAAGGGCACCTGAGAGACCACTGGGTAGAGTTCTGTCTAGCATATAGGCTTATATTCACACCAGTGTAGCACAGATACTCACACATAGAGTCAGGGCACACTCATATCCACACTCTTGCATACAGTATTATCTGTGGAAAGAGCTCTATGCTATAGCCCTGGGACCAGCAAAAGTCACAGCAGAGGAAAATAAGAAGAAACCCTTCAGGCTGAGCATGGTGGCACATACCTTTAATCCCAGGGCTAGAAGGCAGAGGCAGGGAGATGTCTGTGAGCTTGAGGCCAGAATGGTCTATACATATAGAGTTCCAGGCCAGCCATGGCTATATAGTGAGACCCTGTCTCAAAAAAACTGAAGGGGGAAGGAAGGGGGAGGGACGGGAGAGGAGGAGGAGGAAGAGGAGGAGAAGGAGGAGGAGGGAGGAGGGAGAGGAGGAGGAGGGGGGACAGGGAGGAGGGGAGAGGGGGAGGGTAAGAACGTATGGGTTTGGCATGGCAGCACATGCCTCTAATCCCAGCACTGGGGAGGCTGAGGCAGAAGGATTTCTGGTTTAACAGCAGCTTGGACTACATAAGCAGAACTTTGGAGGAGGAGAAGGTGGGAGGAGAGAGGAGGAGGAGGAGGAGGAGGAGGAGGAGGGAGGAGCCACCCTTCAGTATGTAGAACCAATGGCTTGGAGCCTGTAAACCCAATGCCTGGGCAGAAGTAGGAGGATTGAGAGCTCCAGGCTAGCTATGAAGAGACCTTGTCTAAAAAGCAATTTAAAAGAAAAAGGAAAGGAGCCCATGTCCTTGAAGAAACTCCTGACCTCCATGGAAGCAAAGGACAAAGGTTCTTAGAAAGGCTGGGTAGGAAGGAGCTTGTTGGATAGAGAAGAACAAGAACTTATCTGGGTGCTTGTTGGGACAGGAGTTTGTGAAGTGGGCAGAGAGACTGAAAGGGGTCAAGGAACCTGTAAGACAAGTCTCCGTGTACCTGGGGCAGGGAACATAGGACCAGCTGAGATGCCCAGCAAGAGGAGGGCAGGAAGGGGCCTTGGCATAGAAAATATTGGGGATATTAAAGTGTGGGGCTAAGTATCTATCAGAGATGAGAGATGGGTTGTCATCATCGCTGTCTGAGCCCAAATGTCACCTCAGTTGTCCCTTCTAGAGACTGGACATTTATGGGACCTGGATGGAGGTCAGGGAGCCTGGGATGCTAAAATCCTCCCACTGAACTACTCTGAGCCCCTGGGAAGAGGCAGGACAAAGAGGGAAAGGAGGAGGATGAGAAGGTAGGGGCTTCCCCTCTGGCCCTCAGTCTCCTAATAGTACCACAGGGAGGAGAGACAATACCTAGATCCTTGAGCTGATCGAGGAGCAGGAGTAGCAATGTTCCTGGACCTCAGGCTATGAACACTGACTCCTCTCTCCTTCCCCAGTACCAAGGCATCCTGGAGAATCACCTCACAGATTCCATCAAACTCTCCCCAGGCCAGCCAAGGACCAGATGCTGCTGACACCCAGACTCCTGTTCTGAACTCCCATACACAGAGTTGTGCAGGCCATTCACCCCAGCTCAACCCCACCAGCCCACTGCATAGCCATGCCTGGCTAGGAGGCCAAGATGCTGCCGCTGGAGCCTTTGGCCCTTCAGCCCTTCCGGGGCCCAGAGAAATCTCTGGAGTCTCCGTGCCCCACCTCTCCTGCTGCCTGCCTCCCCACCCCCAACAAGTCCTGCTCCAGTTCATTCATCTCTGAAGACAAGCTGCTCTCCTGAGCCCTGTGGAGCTACCGACTAGGCTCCTGGCCCCTTCCTGTTGCCCACTCCCAAAACTACAAACCAGCTTTGGATAACAATGCTTCCTTCATCAGCCAGGCCAAGAAGCCAGGACATGGGCCACTCCCAGCTATCAGAAGCCAACAGGCCCAAGACTCCCCTCAGATTCCTCCAGGGAGACTGAGGGGCATAACAAGAGCTGTTATTCTTGCCAGGTGCTCAGGCAACTCCCATAAGTGGCCAGGCCTCAGTGTGTTCATGTCGGATGAGGGTTACCGAGACCCTATCCATATCTCTGTGATGACCATAATCTTTATTTAAATCCCATTTGCTATTGTGGATATGCATGTTTGTTCCTTTGGCAAGAACTTTTGTGTGCTTACTATCTACATCGCACTGAGGTCTGGTAGCAAACAACACAGACAAGGAGCCCTGGTTTCCCAGAGCCACAACTGAGGACTGAGTCAACGAAAGTAAGTGCCACAGGGAGTGATGCAACAGAACAGCTGAGATTAGGTGCTGATTCAGATAGGGCATCCAAGAGGGCTTTCCTGACACAAGTGACAGTAGGCCTGAAGACTAGAGGAGGCAGTCTGAGAGCTGAAGGAAGGGCGTGAGAGGAGAGGAGCAGCAAGAGCAAGGCCCTGAGGCAGGCCCATCCTTCTGTATTCCAAGAACACTGAAAGGTTTTCATTTTCCTGAGGCCACAGCTGCTGTCCCAAAGACAAGGCCAGGACATGCCGGCCGCAGAGGGCACCTTGGTGCTTTGATGTCCAGACACCAGGGGGCAGCCGTGATTGCAGACAGACTGCTTCTCAGCCGGCTGAGGTCAAAGTGGCTGCTCTGAGGACACAAGACCTTGGTATTTTTGTTCA